ATAAAATGGGCAATGCCTTTATATTTATCAATTTCATGAAACAAACTCAAAGTTACAATCATCATATGATTGGTTTTTGGGCATTCACTAACATCTAGCACTCAAACTTCGATAAAGGTTTCTGTTTCTGGCTTGCCATCCCCATCGACCTCTAACCCACGGACTGCCCACTATAGGGAGACTGTGGGTACTGCTGTGAAAACGATGACGAAATGTGCTTCTTCCCCAGGATCTAGTTCTAAGGACAGTTCCTCTGAATCTGAGGATCCCATACCATCAGAAAAGCAGAAAAATGTTATGGATGACGAAAACAATTATGAGACCAAAGCAAAAAGGAAAAATTTGGTCCCTCCTAGACAAGCTTGAGGATCCAAGCGTAAAGAATCTGGATATGTTTATGATGAATCTAAGAGCATCTCCAACAGATTCCTAAAAATTTCTCCAAAATGGAGAACCAAAAGTCAAAATCTCCAAAAAAGATTACATTCATCTCCAAGAGATTCCCTCCATTTTGGAAAATTCAACATTGATTATAATATTAAAATATTATTTCCCTCTCTAAATATTCATCCTCAAAGTTTCCTATTGGTGTTCTCACTTGGTAATCATTTTTAGAGTGATCTCCATATTTGGAGAAAAAACCTTCTCTCTCTTACTTTCTCCATTTTAGAGATAGTTATAAAGAAGCTGTTGGATCAACATATAGGCCCAAAATCCCCATTTTCTTCCTTTTTTCCCATTTTAAAGAAGCTATTGGAGATGCTCTAAGGTGGCTATCAGGTATGAACTTATCAAAAACAACAAGATAACATGGAACAAGCATTGGGCCTAAGTTGGTCGAATCTCTTTACATGTGAAAACACCATCTTATTGCACTTCATTGGGATAAAATGGTAAGTAACGCATGTAAAGAAAACGTTTCTTGGGTCAAGGAATTCTTCGTTACTATTGGTGTTTCCGAAAGTGAGTCCGTCCAGATTTGAGGCAAAAAGTCACTTGGCCCGGGGCACAGATTAACAAAGTACTTGGCCTTTCTGTCCCATTTATATGCTCTTTCAGTCAGTTTATGCAAAACCTAATCATAACTTCTGTGGACTAGGTTACTACTATTTTGACCTCACCTGGCCACAGTTAGACTTTGGACAACCATAGATCCATTATTTTGGTCGAGCACTTGAACATAAAGTCTTCCTTGTGGTTTCAGTTTCTCCGTCACAACCTTCTCCCCATAGTTCATGATAAAATTATATTTAGGGATAAATGCTTGTTGTTATACTACATTTTGTGAGAAGGCCTAATTGATGTCGACCTAATCACCCATGTTGCCATCTCCGTCGTGGCCACCCGAACCAGCTCCAAGTTAATCTTTCATGCCTTCATTACTAAATTAATGATGATGGTGAAAGTTCCAACCTATGACACATAGGTTATCATTTATGGCTCTTCACATATTGATAGTGGTACTATTGAGCATCGCAAGCACACTGCTCGACAGGCTAACCCTTTGTAGGTTGATCTCACTCCACCAGTCATTGAGCAACAACCAACTTCTACCACAATGTCATGCTCTTCAAAACCGCTGCCGCGACCACCATCTTCATCAGGTTACAGCTCAGAAACATGGTTGTCTGTTTTAACCGCCCAAATGGACGAGTCAAATCTGAAGCTCAAAGCCATTCTCTCCAAAGTCTAATTAAGTGATGATCGTCACGACAATTTAGAGAAGAAGTCCAAGCGATTTTGGGCTTAGTCTAGAGATCGTGTTCGTAACCACTGAAGATTTTTCAACCATGTTGACCCTATGATTGCATCCACTCTCCCGCGATTTCCAACTGGTGTCTGTTCACCCTAGATCCGTAAAGGACCTCCAAGATTGGAAGTGAATATCCTAATTACCTCTGACTTGCCCACAACTGCATTTGGGTCTTTTTATCATTTTATGTTATTTTAATTAAAAATAAAAAGTATATAAATACATGAATTAAAATAATGTATATTATATATGTATATATACATGCACATCTTCTTTCCCTAGCCCATCGGCCACCACTCATCTCACGGTTGTGGACCAACTACCATTGCAAAATATCTCCATCCTTGTTGCATACCTTCTACATCTCAGATCCATCTCCATCCTTCATCAATTTCGTCGCCTTCTCTACTTCTTATGCATCATTGTAGATTTGGATTCATCCTCATCGATTTCATCTCGAATCCATCCTTACATTCATCGTCATCTCTAGTTTGTAGGCAACTTTAGTTTGTCATCTTATCATATCAGATCAATCTTCTATCTCCAATCCCTTTTTGATCTGGATATGGTTCACCATAGTTCATCATTGTCCCATTTTCATAAGTCTAGATCTAGTTAACCTCTATGTCAGATGTATTTTGATTTAGTTTTTATTTATTTATTAACGGTTTGGTTAGGGTTTTGATTTGGTTTTTTTTTTTATTAGAGTTCAATTTTTTGTATCCACCGGCCACGACCCCCTTTTCCGACACCAAAACCTTTTCCAAGTGTGTATCCTTGCCAACAATGACCTCCAACAAAGGCACCAACACCCATCAAAGTTCGAATACAAACACACACTAATATACATATTTTGTCTCCATCTTTGTTTCTCGAACATAAGCAACATTTGTGAAATTTGATTTGTGGGTTGCAGGTTCTCTTGGAAGGCATAAATGAGCGACTTTTGCTTCTTTGTTGTGGCTAGCAGGGTTTGATGGGTATATGATTTGATCAGAAGGGGGTTTAACGTTGTCTTTGTGTGTGTAGGTTTTCTTTATGTGTAGGTGGGTGGATTTTGATTAGAGAAAGGGTGAGATTTGATCGGAGAAGGAGGGTTTCTAATAGAGTAGGGTTGTGTTTGAGTTCTACCGGAGAGGGGGCGGAGGTCGTAGGGAAAGAGGTTCTTTCGGTTGGTTTAGGGAGAAGAAGATGGGTTGTGCATACATATATTCATATTGTTAATACACATTTTATTTTTAACTAAAATAACATAAATTGATAAAAAGACTGAAATGCCCCTAGAGTTAACAGATTAACTGGCTTAAAACTAACAACAACAAACCACAAGGACCAAATCCGAAAGAAAGTGGCAATCACAATGACCAGAATTGTAATTGATTTTAATGAGGATTAGACTTGATATTAAGTGCAACCACAGGGACCAAACATTTAATTTACTCTCAAATAAATTGATTAGCTGAGGTTTTATTTCATGGTTATTACAAACTACTTAGTTCTCATATGATTAGACCCTTGTATATAAGTTTCATATTCATGACTTTTAAAACATTATTATTTCATGAACAAATAATGATTTGTTATCTGTTAAAGAATTACGTTTGACTAAATCAAACAAATCTGGTTAATCTTAATCAGAAATGGTTTGAGGATATGATATATATTGATCGTCCATCTATTTTAAAGGTAGACAGATTATTTTTGAAAAAAACCCCAATAATATTTTACTAGAAGTGTACATGTACGATGCAATATAATGTAAATTTTAAATATATAAATAAAAAATTGAATTATATAAATGTTTTTTTTAAATTAATCAATCGTAAAATGAAATTTCTAAAAACTCATATAATATATTGTTTTTAATTAAAAAAAATAAGAACATTATTTATAGATATCAAAAGATTTTTGTATGCATTTGTTTTACAAGTTCTGATATTGAAAAATACAAAAAATTCTGTGTTTTTTAATAATATATTATGAATATAAATAAAACCATTGTAATTGTGAATTTGATTTTAACGATAAATATTAGTATTTACTAGAAAGATATTCGTGCAATGCAGCGGGATACATTTTTTTTAATGTTTCATTTTAATTTTGTATCTGTTGATATAATATGGTTTACGTGATTTTGAGAAAGATAATATTTTTAACTTTAAATAAAAATAAATTTTGAAAAAATATATCGATATTAATATTAAATTACTATTTAAAAGTTCTTTTTTTATAATTTATTTAATTCAATTTTTTAATTATAATTTAATTTATATCAAATAGTGAAGTAATTTATTTTTGGCTTAACAATCAAATTTTTATAAAGATAATGATTCTGTTAGAACTCAATAATTATCCTAATTATATTTTTGATTTTTTATACTTAAAATGATATGTTTATCTTGTATTTGATTATGTTTATCAGTAGTTAGTTATACAAATTTAAAAATGGAGCTTTAGTAAGTTGTACTTACGTAAAATTACTTGTAATTTTGAATTTTAAGTAATATGCATCAATAAACAGTATTTCATGCATAAAAAATAATTTTTAAGATTTTTTATCAAATACTTTATAATATAGTATAGATAGTTACAAAAGTTTTAATTTAATTTTTTATAAATAATATTCAATAAAACAATATTTTCAAGAATTAATACCAAATACAAATACAATGGCCGAAAGCCAATTGGGCCGCATTGACGCTACAAACGTAAGGCCCATTAGGCCAGATGTAACCAAAAAGGTAAAACCATAATTTCCACGTGGCAATCACTGATTGGTTTAGTTGATGTGGCAACCTACTAGACTTCAAAATAGAGAACCATCTTATTGACGCGTCTGAGTTTTTATTCATTCTCGAAAATATCGGATCTTCGAACGCGGAGGAGAACGATATCACGACCTTTTTGATCTCTGCACTTAAGGTTAGTTGAATCTTTTCGTTTTTCCCATCGATTCGTCGTGTGTTTTGTTCATGAATCGTAGAATTTTGTTCCGTTTTTTGGTTAATTTAATCTGATTTGGAGTTCGTACAACGGTTTCGAGTATATGCTAACTATAGATCTGTTTGTAATTCGACATGTTCTCTTCATTGAATGTAAGTATATGGATTAATGGACTTGTTCGATCGTTTTAGTATGCTGCAGCCCTCCATTTTTCCCAAAATTGTTAATTGTTGGGATTTTTTTTGCCGGATGTGTAAATACTTTAAATTTATATGTTTGTCTTATTTTCATGTGCAGTAACAAGGATTGGATTGGTTGAAATTTTGATTAGGTATTTGAAATTTGTCTGCTCTGCTACTCGGATCTGCTTTTGCGATTCCTTTGTTCTTGTGTTCGGATGATTATGTAGATTCTGAGACATGCTTGAAATTTTATACTTGAAAATTGAAATAAATAGCATCATACCAGGCCTAGGAATTTTTTTGCTGACTTGTCTGTTGTGCATCATGGATTGTTGTAAATGATTGAATTAGTTTTCTAACCATCACACATATAATTTTGTAGCAAACTAGTAATTGTACTTCTAAAAAATAGAATGCTACAGCATGCTATTTGACAGATGTCGGGTGGTTTTCAATGACTATTTTGCATAAAAACACGAGTATGATGGTTAGAACTGCTTGGTCTAGTATTCTTGTTTTTTGCATTATGGTTAGTGTGGCAAAAACCTACAAAATTAAAGGGTTAAAAAACGCATTCACTCATAAGAAATAGGTGGACTTGTGAGGAGTGACTTCTAATGAAAACAATTCCTATTTCATTGTCTTTTTAAGGATTTGACAGAACTGTTGTACTTATGTTAAACTTTTTTTTTTATTCTGGAAGGTCAACAGATGATAAAGAGAACGGAAATATATACATGTCTTGCCACTATCTGTGGAATAGAAATAATGATTACATTTTGCATGGAATTGGGTCAAAATAAGATGTAAAGCTTGTAGATATGATGTTCTCTCTATAGGATTATGAGTTCTAAAAGTAATATTACTCCATTTGTACCAAAAAGATCCCATTTTCAACGTTCAGGAATTGCTTAGAAATGTTGCAGTTCTGTGACTTTGAAATGTTGCAGTTCTGTAACTTTGAAATGTTGTAGTTCTATAACTTTAAATGTTCTTTTGTCATACATTTCTGTAATTTCACAATCCAATCAATGCTTTTGTTTGAACTAAACCAATTTTTTCAATATTAATCTTAAAATCACAACTCATTTGCCTCTTAGAACTCACATAGCAAGAATCATTTTAAGATGGTGGATGTAGTAGTCAATTTATTTCTGCTTCCATGAATTGTGCATGCGAATGTCAATCGAGGATTTTCCCTGGATATAATTTAACAAGGTTAGCAAACGTATTGCTCACTCCGTGCCATAGGAGTGCAGTGTTCGATTTGACACATTTTAATGATAGTCTGTCTCTTTGATTATGATTAAATGCCTAAATTTTCCCACAGTAAGACAAATTTAGAGAACTTCGTGGACCAAAGTTAATGTCACCAATATATTGTATGATTCTCAAGGGTAAATAGATAAATTTGGATTGTAATATTTGCTGAAAAAAGGTAGGGTTGCTTTTTTTTTTGGGGGGGGGGGGGGAATCATGAAAAAGAAAATGTGGGGTCTTTTTATTTTTTGGGACCAAGGGAGTATAACATTATTATTTTGAGATCCTGAATTGCAGAGGATGATATTAACCAATATTATTTTTACTCACCAAGTCCTTCCATTTGTTAAGATGATTCTATCTTCACATCTGAATGGAGATTTATTCTCATCTTAAGTTATGAACATTCCACTTGTTCATCAATAGTCTTTGGATTTTTAGATCACAAGTTAGGATCATTTCGTGTAAAATTTCGATTAATAGTGTGAAATGTTAGAAAAAAGAACTTGTTGACGGTTTCTTTTGCTCTCTTATGCTTTGCTACAAGGGTAAATAGATAGGTACCATCCAGACTCACCACAAATCTTCACTCTCTTCATAATCATATTTTATCTCCTTTTAAAAAGGAAAACTAGAAATCCTGTATTCAAAGATAGCTAATGGTTTTGGGTTAAATACAGAATGGCTTTGAATGGGGCAGCTCCACCAAGAGGCAGTGCAGCAGCAGCTGCAGCCAACTTACGAAGGAGGAGGACCGGTGGAACTACAGGGGCATCGGGTGGGACAGCTGGGAACATGCTCCAATTCTACACGGACGATGCACCTGGGTTGAAGATCTCTCCAAACGTTGTTCTTGTGATGAGCATCGGATTCATCGCTTTTGTTGCTGTCCTTCATGTCATGGGTAAGCTCTACTTCGTCCGTAAAGAGTAAGGTTTCATTTGATCAAAAGATGAACTTGATGGCTAGGTTTCGTATTTTAGTCTAGCGTTTGTACTTTTTGATCAGTTAAAATTTTCCGTTTCTGAGATCGTTCCCAGTGATATAAGCTATTTCTTAAAAATTGTTTTGATTACATATGAATCTTGAGGTATATGTATGGGTTATGTTCATGGATCAACAGAAAATCGCCCGTTCGGGGCATCTTCAACAGCTATACAATTTTAGAAATTTTGAAGATTAAGGGAAAGTTTGCTCCAATAGAGAGAAAAAAGGAAATTTGGAGAAAAAGAGAGAATATAGCATACATTTGAATGCCAAATTATATATGCTAAAAAAGATAATTGAGTTGTATAATTTAACGCATAAATAGCATATGTCAAGATATGTTGTATATTTAACATTAGTATTTCTAACCTAATATAAAAACTTATTGAATATTTGAAATTATAATTTAAATTGAAGTTACGAAACAAGAAAAAAGGAAAAAGTTTGCATACTCGTTTGAATCGAGATAAAAAAAATTGAGATCCCTTGCATATGTTGGATAATTGGTTTATATAAATCTTTCCTGGTTCAAACCACAGATAAAAATAAGGTTTTCAAAAATTGACAAAGTATTATTTCCATTTATTCGTCAAAAGAAACGTCCTTTTCGAAGAAATAATTGATTTTCCTTGATACCTAACATTAGGGGTGCTCATGGGTTGGGTTGATCGGGTTGAGGACATTTGAACAACCCAACCCAATGCTTACGATTTGAAAAAATCTTAACCCAACCCAAACCAAAGTGCAACCCAACCCAACCCAACCCGTACGGGTTGGTCGGGTTGGTCGGGTTGATACTTTGGTATATTAAAATATTCTTCTAACCTTGAATATGTTATTTCTCTACTCATACTTTATTTTTCATCATCAACCATTTGATACAACTTATTCATATTTCTTACATATATCACATTCAGTTAATTTTCTCAATTTACATATATATGTTCACAGTTACTGAATGAGTTATATAGAGATATGAATAGATTGAAAATATGTGTATATGAAAAGCATACATRATAGTGTAATTGTCTAATGTATATATTAATAGAAATTCATCAATCATATTAAATCTAAGAAATAAAAGGATATCGAGTTCATCGGGTTCATCGGGTTGGGTTGGGTTCAAAAAATATCAACCCAATACCTACGGTTTGACAATTTTACAACTCGATTAGACATCGGATTGCTTCGGGTTGGGTTATTTTACGTTGGGTTGGGTTGGGTTGGGTTGATCGGGTTGGTCGGGTTGATCGGGTTTTTGAGCACCCCTACCTAACATAATGCATGAAAGGATCATTGAACAACCATAAATTAGCTTGAAGGAGCGAGTTGTCTAATAACGTTCTTCCTCCACTAGTTGATACTTCAAAGGGGTTTTACCCTATGCATAGAACAAGATCCTTGACAAATTCTTTAAACACAGAGGAAATGAAAATTTTGGAAAGTTCGAGCAATTTTAACAAGCTTTCAAAACAGAGAAGGTCGAGAAAAGAATAATTACAATAAGAGATTATGAAAAATTTGAAATTTGTAGTACTCGCAAAAATTGATTACAATGAGAGAGAATGAAAATATTTAATTATATTTCTAATAATAAGAAACCATTATATTTAATGTTTAATAGAGGTGGAAAAATATATTTTATTAAATATATGAAGTATTTTAATAATATAATTGATGTTGTAATCTATAAAATGAAAAAGCTGATGGAGTTGTGTAATAATTTTTTAATTTTGATTTTCCAAATTGAATTTAAAAAAAAATATTTTGATAGAATATCCGTTGGAGAGTACTTTGTGAATACATTTCTACATCTGTCTATGGCAAACCAAAGCAATTCAAAGTTACCTCACACAAAGTAGGGTCTAGGAGGAGTAAAATATATGCAGACCTTACCTCATCTATTAGGATAGAGGGGCCATTTTCATGAAGACCCCTTGTCTGTGCACGAAACAAGGGTTGTGCAAGCAGCCAATTAAATAGGTAATATAACAAATAATCAAGAATACAAGTAGAATAATAATTCAATGGTGCATAAGCACACCATGTAATCAAGTAAAACATGTAATACAAGTAGAAATATTTATGTACTTCACAACTTTACCATGTAGATAAGACCAATAAGAAAGTCAAGTCTAATTAGACGTCGCCAACCACAGAGGCAGAGGCGAATCTACTAATAGAGAGGGGGTGCACCCCTCGCTCGATCATCCTGTCGTAAATGCAATTTTTTTTTATTGACAGTAACTATTCACCTGCTTTATTTTCTATCATATGTTTTTAAGGAAATTGAAGTAGAAGTGTGAAGTTGTTGGAATGGTTGGGGTGTTATATCTTTTATTTTTGTTGACAAGAAATTCTAGCTTTTTATGTTTTAAATTCCAATTACAATAAAAAAAAGGGTAAAACAAATATGCAATGAAAGTATTTAACTCAAGACCTCAACCATAAAATTATAAAAACCTATTATTTTTTATTTATAATTGTCCTAACCTTACTTTTATTTCTTCTTTTTAATCTTTTTCTTCCAATGTACCTATAAATCTTAAATTTGTTTATTTGTCTCGTTCGGATGACGACACATGTTTATCCTAAATAAATTGAAAGAGATAAAATTAATCACATTTAAATTTATACTTTGTATGAGCTTATATTTTTGATTTTTTTATAATAGTTGAAAATCGGTTATTATTCATCGATATATGCAGTCGTCAAAATTATGTAAGAAATTTATAAAATTATATTTTGTTGTTGCATTTGCTGTCCATTACGTATGAAATCAACAAAAACCCAAAAAAAGTCCTCCATAAAGGTGGAATTCAGCCGAGAACAAACGACGTAGTCTTGCATTTTGCTCAAAAAGTCAAGGTAGATTCCATTTGTAAACATGTATTGTATCAAATCGTCATAATTGAATTTTCCTTGATTAAACCGTAACTTTATTGACCTTTGATTAACCTTAATGATGCATCCGCTCAAAAAAGAATTCTTCGGTCCGCCACTACTACACGTAGGAGCCTATTTGCTTACTATTTACCCTGCTCTCAATACCCCTATCACACACCAATAGATCCCACTAAAAATGGGTCCCTCTATTTGTGTATCTCGGAAAACTCCTATCAGAAATCATGTCCTCAGAAAAATCTAAAGCTCTCATGTCCATTCTCACTGGTTAACCTACATTCTCCTAGGCCTAAACTGTCACACTTTGCACTCCCCTCATGCTGCCAATTATCTCCTCAAGAACATTCCCAAAAATGTCTCTGTCTACTATTTCTCAATTTATTTGTGATAAGCCCTGCCCATGGTTCCGATTTAATAACTTCGTTATGAATTCTGTCTAACATGGTCCGACAACACGTCCATCTCAACATCCTCATCAACAACTTCCAATTTTTACACATGCTCAATCATACAACATAACTGGTTGATCTTATATTTTTACATACATATATACATACATACATACATACATATATAAATATATTTATATACATGTTACTAGATATCGCACACACACGTGTGTGTGTACACACGTATACATGTTTAAAAACACACTTATCTATAACAAATATACCAATATATTTATGGGTATGACATGTTTTCAGGCCAAGTTGGAATATACCTAAAATACATATGAATCAAAATGAAAGCCAGAAAATGAGTACAACAAGTCTTAATACAGAATCTGTTTACTTTCAGCAACTACAATCACGCATGCATACATACATACATAGATACATACATACATACAATCAGTCCAACAACAACATTCTAAAAGCTCTACAACAGTTTTTGCTCTCACTTGTATATATGCATGCCAAAAACTATAAAATTAGATGGTCTTGATGATGAGCGATTATCGGGCACCATTACCAGAAACATCTTCTGATTTTGTTAAACCACAAGATGTTGAAACTGAATAGAACATATTTTCGATCTCAGGTGCACACTTTGTAAAAGATAGGTTCCAAAAGTTGTATTTCGGATTCTGTTCAACAATTACAGATTAAACAACCGCGCTAAAACACGATATATATATATATATTATATTATATGCGTGATAGATTATTACCTTTACAAGCTCAAGGAAGGTGACGAGGGCACCCCATGGGTGTGGACGCTTGGTGATCAATCGCTCCAATAGAACTCTGGTGATCATTTCCTGGATTACCTCCTGCTTACACACAATATGAACCATAAAAACTTCATCTACATTCAAAGGCTCAAACTTGCATAGGTTTTCTATTTGGAAAACAATTTAAATATGAAAGATAATTCATAATAATTGGAACACTTTCCTATTTGGTAAAACAAGTTGATGGGTCCACAAGATTTCTACATTTGTCTTTGTTGAATGGTGTTTTAGAAATCTGACAAAAATTCACATTTAACCTAAACTATGTATCAAATCAAACGCTGAAATTCTCATTGGACGAAAGAAGTACTCCCTTTGTCCCAAAATAAGTATCTCACATTTTTATTTTAGTTTATCCTAAAATCAGTGTCCACTTTCCAATTCTACCCTTAATTATGAGATAAGAGATTCATTATTTCCTCTGTTAATAAGAGTAAAATTGTCATTTAGGGGTTGTTTAGCAACACACACTGAGTAAGCACCGACCACGTAAGAATCACCACCCTCACTTACCTTACTAGGTAAGATTCTCAGTTGTCAAAATATCATACTATAAGCATATCATACCTGGTAAGAACTAACTGGGCAAGAGTCACCACCAACCTCACTGGATAAGATTCTCGATTTCCAAAATGACACGGTAAGATTGTTGTTAAAGGGTAAGCGTCTCTTACCCAGTAAGAGGAAACAAGTGTTTTACCCGATAAGAGGCCGTAACAGTTTAGTAAACAACTCATTAGTTAATTAAAAAGTCTAATAATTACTCATTTCTAAAATTGTGTGGCTTTTTAAACATTTATTTTGGGACGGGGGGAGTAAATTATAAGAGAACATATGTACGAAGAAAAGGTCATCTAACCTGGTTTAACTCGGAAAAGAAGTGAAGCATGACGAAGGAAAAGTAATGTGTGTGGTTGCTGGGATAACGCAGTTGGTTTGCAACTGCGTTGAAGAACACGTAACGGCCTTCAGAGTCTAGCTCTAGAATTAACGTTCGGAAGATGTCCAAAGCAGCACCAGCGAAGAAAACGGACAATGGAATACACATGGCGATGGATGTTGCACGAGAAGCCATACCTGCCTGGATCTTCTGGATGGCCTGGGACAACATGCAAGCATATCATCACGTACATTACCAATGGCTACATGTTGCTTTAAATCTGACACTGTAACATTAGCATAATACGTCTTGTACTTCACAATATTCCAAAGAAAATGTAAACTATGGTGGTCAATGTGAGAATTTGTGGAACATTATAGAGAAAGGAGGTTCCAACTACTAACATATACGGAGGAAAAATGGTCCAAAATCTAGCCAATGTGGTTCTCCAACGGAGGCTACAGATTGTCCAAGAGTGTCAAGTCCTTAGAGTGGTAGACCTTGCCTCTAATACCATGTGAGAATATGGGGAACCCCATTAGATTACTCTAAAAAAGAGCCCTGATGATAGAAGGGAGATTCTTACATATATTGAGGAGAAATGGTCCAAGTGTAATTAACATGGGACTCTTAATAATTGGAATTTAACAATTGGCATGCAAAGAAAAAAAGGAACTTGTAATTTTACCTGTGTTCCAACATAAAGTACAAGTGAGTTCATCAAAGGTACATTGTAGCAAGTTCCACGCCTTTCGGCTTCACTTGATGAAAGACGCAGTTTATACTTCAATTCCGAAAGAAATGAAGATTCTTCTGGCCTCATCTGCATTGATATAGCTAAAAATAAATCTTATCCTTCAGAATCAGGATAAAGAAACATGAATTCATCGCTTGTAGTTGTAGGTTGTTCTCAATTCCTTGGTGAACACATATCTAGTAGCCTTAAGGTTTAGTTTTCTAGAATTACTAATTATACATACCATTAGATACTCATCCACTCCGCTTTTCAATTTGTTAGCTTTCAAAGCGGTATCAAACTCAGAGAGAATGCAGGGTGGTTGACTCATCTCAATTAGCAGATCAACCTGAAAATATATATTTCTTTTGGTATTAGTTCTAGTAATCGAAACTACACATGCTCTGCCGAAGGGTCATTGGCCCAACAGTACCCAGGTTAATAGTACTCTGGTAGAGCTCAGCCTCCCAGGAGGTCAAAGGTGAGGAGTGTGCGTGAGTATTTATATAAAAATATGATATGCTTCAAAAGAAAAGATAAGTTAACACACCTTCAAGTTGGGGGTGTTAGGGTCTGGTATCCTCATATTCTTCGGGAATGCACTGAGAATCATATTTCGTAACTGGATGCAGCGTGGGGCAATGACGTTACAGAAGTTGAAGTAATTATAACAAAGGAACTCTGGAAAATCATGAATCAACACCAAGAGCACCCTGAGTGTGCCTTTGTAGAGAAAACGAATCTGAATGAAAAAAGAATACGCAAATTAACTCTGATTTCAAAAGCTGTAATAAAAAATGATGAAAGATGGATTGTGTGAAAGATGCAAACCGGATCTGCAAGTTCACCAGTCCTCAATAAAGGCTCCATGAACCGCAACAAGTCTATCACCAAGCGCTCGAAATATGGCCACCCTTTTTGGCCATTTGCGGTGAGCATTTTTGGCATGAAATCTTTGTTACTAACTAGCTCAAGCCATGCAAAGCTGAAGAGTAATTTCCCGACATAAGATACAGACAGCATTTTAAAAAACAAATGTTCCATACTAGAATTTGTTCATATTCTTGGAAACGGATAACTACAATCATACTTCTGATAAGATATTCTTGTTACACTAATTTGCATGATAACTATACATACATGATATATAATGCTAAATGTGTGCATGTGTTTATATGCAAAAAGAAACTAAGAGACAATATGAACGAGCAATATGATTTATATGTGTCCTGCAGCCCTCCCCCCCAAAAATTGACCTTTCAAGGAAATTTAAAACTGCAAATGGTTTTTCAATTTCGTAAGATAGTAGGTTATGAAACCCTTATATATTGCATTGACATAAAAGCGAACCAGAAACTATGCAGCTTCTAAAATTTTGGGATGAACAAAATTCATATTCTCAAATTACTTGAATAAGACAAGCCCTATTTTCCTTCCTGTATGGCTGGATATTTAGTAAAATGATCAATTATGCACCATTTTCGGTTTATACTAGTTGTGTGTGTGTATATTCACTACACGAACCTGAATGCAGGAACTTTCAAGGGCTGCAGGGCATGATAAGAACTTGATAGAGCTGTCAAAACCTGTACAAGACGAGGAAATTAGTAAAGTAAACACAAAACAAACCCATACATTTTTTGAAAGAAATGCAGATACCTGAAAATTTGCATCATCAATGACAGAGTTCAGGGTATCAAGGTAAAACAAGAAGTTCATGAATAGCCTGGAATACGGGTTAGGACAGAATGATGCTTTCTTTTCCTCCACACCTTTTTTAATGGATTTCACAATCACCGCTAACACCTATAACACAAAATGTGTATTAAAGTTACACTTACCAAACCAACAATAAGAATTTAAAAAATGAAATTCAGTTTTGACTTGTGTACCTTTGACAAAAGAGAGAGCTTGTTTGGTCCCTGGTCAACAGGGCAAAACTAGACAAAAGGGAAGAAAATCTCAAGTTGATGAAATAAACATTGACCATGCATAGATAAAAGAAAGTTCCGGACTACAGGGTCGGTGATTCCTACCTTCAAGATTGTAAAAACAAGGTCAGCATATGAATCAATAACAAGGAAAGGTGAAGGATCTGCTTGTAGATGCAATTGCGGATGGCTAGAGTTGATCCCCTCGGAAGCTAGATAGTGTGATAGAGCAAGCTCCTAAGAATATTACATATAAATCAGGATATATTTTTTTTCCTTATAGCTTAACATGCAATAACTGGGTGTTCTTGTGAGTCTGTGCGAGTGTTTGGAGGCCAAAGAACAAGGGACAAGAGTTATCAGAATCACCAAGAGAACGTGGAAAAAGCGTTCTGGCATATCATCAGCTTTCGACAACACATTTCTATTAAGTTGTAGAACATAATGAGCACGAGTTGCATCATTAACATCAAGGCAATCCCATATCTGGCACCATTCACTAAGTAGCATAGAAACCTGCAGAATACATGCATTTACAAGAATCAAATAGTGATGACATTAATAAAATTCTTAGTTATAATATCTTGAACACAATATGTAACAATTGTAGAATCTCCCCCCTAGTCCTTAATAGTAAACCTTCTTATCCAGGACACTTGTTTACTTGTAGAAGTTTTATTAATAACATACACCATTAAGCATCAACCATAAATTATCATTGATGAAAATGGGAAGTTGATAAGAATTTATTGAAGCCCAAGTGATACATATTCAACGACATTGGCTTCGTAACTCCTAAAGATGTTTCTTAAGGAATCCCACATGCTATCTCATCTCCCTGTAAACATCAATGCAAAATGAAAAAAGCACATAGTTCAGCCAGGACTAATTTGGAACACAACGATGGTTACCAATAGCATTCTTGTTTATGAAAACAATGTGGACGTTTTATCAGTCAGCAGCTAAACAAAAATCATTGGTCCATCTAACAATTTCTTGGTTAGCAGGAAACAAGGGGAATGGTCCTACACTCAGAAGAAATTTGGATATACATAATATGAAGACAACCCAGAAATGCAAATATACGTATATATGTCGTCCAGCAACAGCCCGGAAAACAAAGAGAACATACAACACTTGACAGTTGAAACATGATATCACTGCACCTTACTACCTCAAAATCATCTAAGGTGGCAAGAGATAGTCACTGAAAGAGTATTACTACCTGCCCATGGAAGCCAGGAGGATCGGCGAAGGGTTCAGAAGATCCTGATGCAAGGTGATAATCCTTACCAGCTACAGCCTGCTACATTGAAACAAAAAAGTTAGCATCAAAATTCATATCAAGAATAAAAGGTGTATTAACCTTTATTTTTTACGTGGTATGATAATATCATCCTTTCCAACAGAAGACCAGACAAGAATGCAGCAATCCTTTCTGGATTCAGCAACATTGACAAGCTGTTGAAGTGTGGAGAGTCAAGGTTTGTTCAGTTAAAAGGAAACAAGATCAAGATCAAACCTTGGCCAATGCATCAATGACATTATGGAGTTCGGATATTACTCTGGCATCACTTGCCTGCAGTGTTTGAATTAGGGAAACACAAAATTCCGTTGCCATTCCTGCACATCATTTAATAGTTAAATTATAAGTGTGATGAACCAACACTTTGATAGGCCATTTAGGAGACTTATAACTTGAAGTATATCCAGAGCTTCTGATTTTAAAATTCTCAGAACTCCTCTTATACTTGTAGCAAAGAGTAAAAGGTAATTTATTTTTTACATATGTAAAACAACATATTTAACTTAGCCAAGGACGTCGAAGCAAAGTAAGTGAGCATTAATAGGTTATGAATTATCAGGGAACCATGAGAAGAAGAAAATCAGTTGGTCTCAGCCTTATTCATTTAGATCACTTCATTTCAAGTTCTAATAAATTCGGTAGTTGATATGAAACACATCTTTTTAGTTTGCTTTGGGCCATATTTTCAAAAACTATAACAATCAAAACATTAACACGCTTACCTTTTGTATATTTTGAAATAAAATTATTAAATTGAATTTCGGGAAAAGTGAAGGGAAGTAGCATGAAATTTGATAAATAATGAGGCCTTGACTTCCTTTTATCTAATTTTGAACTTCTTTAAATGTCTACGAGTTATATCACAAGAATAATTCCCATTGATTTGGATCACATGTGTTACCTTTCACCCTTAAATATGCTATATTCTTTCAAGTTAACCATGATATGTTTAGAATTATATCCAATTAGGTTATTATTCTATTTCCATCATCCGTAAATGCATGTGTGTACTGTTCACATGCACAAGCTGCATCCATGTATTGGGTCATTAAACATGTTTAAGTCCGTGCATGGGCACCCTCCCATCTGCAAATTTATTTCAAAGTTAAAGCGATAAGTGTCGTTCAGGCATACCTTTCTTTCCCGTATCAATAAGCTTGGCCATATGAACATTATACTCAGCAAGGTTCAGTAATTTTCTGTGAATTAATCCAACAGTGATATATTTGTTGAACTTCCTATCATCATCTGAATGAAGTACCTGCTTGCAGAAATGATGTCATTATGATATGTCAAATCAGGATAAAATAAATAGATGTCAAGTGTATCTGCTCTGAACCATGAACAAAATAGTCAAATGGTAAACTACATTATTATTTTAAAGCTACCCTCATGAAAATAATACAGACCAATAACTAAATGCAACAAGACTGCATAAGATGTTGGCTTCATGTCATTTTTGGTTTAACTTTAAGAGGAGTAATGACAATTGTCATCTATTGCAGCACATACTGGTTGGTTTTATAAAATGCCTCAGACACCATTGTAGTTCAGGAGAAAGAAATGACCTACCCAACCAGTCAGCTCCTTCCCCACAAGCTTGCTAACATCACAAATGGCAGCTAATATGGCAAGATGAGCATCCATGTGTCCAGCATTGTTTGCATTTTGGTATAAGCATTCAAAAACCTACAACACAGTTGAAATTTTTGTTAAAACGGTTTGGCAAGAAAGATAAGCATCCAAATAACAAGCAAGGGATATACCTGCTGAGCAATAGCCAAGCCAGCCTCATCTTTGCTTATGCATCTAAGAATAACCGTCGGAACCTCAGCAATTACTGACTGAAAACAACCATCCTCTTAGTATGAATATGAATGTGTATTTTTAAATTTCAGTCATCTCCAAAAATCCAAATGACCAAGATTCAAGGGTATGGAAGGAAGAAAATGCTTTTGGTATGTAGACTTTCAGTTCTTACTTTGGTTTACAGTTCAGAACTGGATCCATACTAACAAGTAATAAATAATTAAGATAATTTGTTAATGAAATTGAGGAAATAATACCTGAATTTCAGCTTCTTTAGCATCATTAGCAAGCAAAAATTCAAGCTGAAACAATTGACAGGAAAAATAAGTTTCTATAAGTTGTACAACATTATTCGTAAGCATACCAAGTTCAAACTAAAAGAAGATGCAATGTTTCAATTCAGAAAGTTCAAATATGAAAAGATTCTAGGAAAGTAAGTTCTATGGCAACAAGAGGTTGGATACCAAACAAGAACGCAAATTTCCAACGGAAAGTAGTTACATATTTGAAGAAGGATGACTAATTAAGGTCTGGATTTTTATATTTAATACCACATAGAAATTAAAGCATCAGCCAACACAGATCAACAAACCATCAGATGGGTATTCTGTTGGTGATTTTAGTGTCATCTAGCCATATGGTGTAGTCAAGATTAATGTGAGACAATATAAGTTTAGTATTGGCTACAATTCGAGTTCGGAGGTGTGGAGCGCACACTCGGATAAGCTAATATGAAGTCGCGAATACGGGGTCAAGGGAATGTTGAACCATTGCATCATTTATTTCCAAGTGAAATGAATCGTCACATCTTTTCCTAACAGATGCAACCTTTCCCTCCTTAATTAACTAACACCTTTTTAGTTAATTAACCGAATTAACTACCACTTTTGGTTAGTTAACTAAATTAACTACCACTTTTGGTTAGTTAGCCAAATTAACTACCACCTTTTGGTTAGTTAACCGAATTAACTAACACCTTTCCGAAGATGTGTGTGGTATTCTATATATACCATGTTCCATATTTGCTAAAGACATACGAAAGACATACATTGGTTTTTTCTATGTCGAATTTGTCTCTACAAACATAATCTATAACAAAGTATTTTGTGTTTTACTAATCTTGGATTTGCCTGAAATCCGGATTGAATTATTGGATTATCCTAAATCTGAATTCGTGTAACCTCAGGTTATAGGGTCGAATTACAGATTCTGGAAAGTGTTCCATACACGATCCAATTAATTATTCAAGTTTATTGATATTCTGAATCCCTAGAAATCTAACATTCAGAATCTATAATTTTGAAGGAATATCAATGGCTGCAGAATCTGTTAGAGACATGAGTTCCAAGTTTGGCAAACTGGAAAAGTTTGAAGGGAATGATTTAAGGCGTTGACAGAAGAAGATGCACTTTCTACTTACATCTCTGAAAGTTGTTTATGTTCTAAGCTCCCCTGCACCAGAATTCCATGAAGATGAAACGCTGGAGACTACTAGGCGCCGAGGCAAATGGGAGAACGATGACTATATCTGCCGAGGACACATCTTAAACGGTATGGCTGACTCCTTATTTGATATTTATCAAAACAGTTAATCTGCAAGAGACTTATGGGATGCTCTAGAATCCAAATACATGGCAGAAGATGCCTCGAGCAAGAAATTTCTTGTAAGTAATTTCATTAACTACAAGACGGTGGATTCTACACATGTGATGGAACAATATAATGAACTTCTCAGAATATTGGGACAATTTGAACAACACAAGATGCAAATGGATGAATCCATTGCAGTATCAAGTGTGATTGACAAATTACCCCCTTCATGGAAGGATTTCAAACATATGCTTAAACACAAAAAGGAAGAGTTGTCTTTGTACAACTTGGCAGCTATCTTAGTATTGAAGAATCTTTACGAGTACAAGAAAGTGGCAAAGGAAAGGAAAAGGAAATTCCTGGTCCATCATCTGTCAGTATGGTAGAAGAAGGGAAAAACCAGAAAGGAAAGAAACGGAAAAGAGATGACCACAAAAAGGGATACCACAAGAAACCAAGACTGGTATTTTGGAAATGTAACAAATGGTGACTGTCGTGTAGGAAGAGGAAAGAACGAAGCAAGTACCTCTGGACAAGGATCTCAAGGTCAAGGTCCAAAACCTCATGAAGGTATGAACTTTAACTATGATACAAGTTCTGTTATATACTACGTACCATTAATACGTGAGGCATTTTACATACAGAATGAATGCACGTATAGGACATGTTCATTATAAACGAATGCTTGAAATGTCTAAAAATGGCTTAATTCCACCTTTTGACATTAACATAGAGAAGTGTAGAACATGCATGCTAACTAAGATAACTAGACAACCTTTTTCTAATGTGAAAATAAATTCTGTAGTGCTTGAATTAATACATAGTGACTTGTGTGATTTGCATGCAACTCCATCCTTAGGAAATAAAAAATACTTTGTCACTTTTATAGATGACAACACTCGTTTCTGTTATGTTTACTTACTACATTCTAAGGATGAAGCCCTAGATATATTTAAAATTTACAAAACAGAAGTTGAGTTGCAACAGAATGGCTTAATCAAAAGATTACGAACCAATAGAGGTGGTGAGTATTATGACCCTACTTATTTCCAACCCGTAGGAATCATACATGAAACTACGGCTCCATATACCCCTCAACAAAATGGTATATCAGAAAGGAAAAACAGAATTCTCACGAAAATGGTTAATTCCATGTTATCATATTCAGGACTAAGTGATGGATTTTGGGGAGAAGCCATGTTAACGGCTTGCTATTTATTAAATAGGGTTCCAAACAAAAGGAACATAACAACCCCTTATGAACTTTGGTATAAAAAGAAACCAAATTTAAATTATTTAAAAATTTGGGGATGTCGAGCAATTGTGAGACTAACTAAACCCAAAATGAAAAATTTGGGTGAAAGAGGTATTGATTGCATCTTTATTGGATATGCTGAGCATTCCAAAGCTTATAGGTTCTTTGTTTTACAACCTAACAGCTATGTCTCAGTTAATTCTGTTTTAAAATCTAGAGATGCCATATTTGATGAAACTCGGTTTACATCAATATCTAGACCAAAGGACATGACTCCTACTTCAAGTGGAACTAATAAAGAGAAGGAAGCCACCCCTAGTACGAGTGAATCACTAGAGCTTCGAAGAAGCAAAAGAGAAAGAAAGGCTAAATCCTTTGGTCCTGATTTTCAATTATATTTGGTTGAGGSTTCTAGAGATGAAATAGCCTATCAATACAATTATTGTTTCAGTATTGAAGAAGATCCTAAAACATTTGATGAGCAATGAGATCTCAAGACGTTGCCTTCTAGAAAGAAGCAATTAATGATGAAATGGATTCTATCATAGGAAATAATACATGGTCCTGTCTGATCTCCCCCAGGTTGCAAACCATTAGGTTGCAAGTGGATTTTCAAAAGGAAAATGAAAGTGGACGGATCAATAGACAAATTTAAGGCTCGTTTGGTCATTCAAGGTTATAGACAAAAACCTGGAATTGACTACTTCGATACCTATGCACCAGTTGCTCGTATTTCGACGATTATATTGTTAATTGCTCTAGTTGCAATTCATAATCTAGTGATTTACCAAATGGATGTTAAAACTGCCTTCTTGAATGGTGATTTAGACGAAGAGGTATACATGAAACAACCTGAAGGTTTCATTATGCCTGGAAATGAACACAAAGTGTGCAAGTTGATTAAATCTTTGTATGAGCTAAAACAAGCACCTAAACAGTGACATCAAAAATTTGATGATGTTGTCTTATCAAATGGTTTTAAGTTAAACCAGGCAGACAAATGTGTATATAGTAAGTTTGATAAATCTGATCAAGGAGTAATCATTTGTCTATATGTAGATGACATGTTAATTTTCGGAACAAACCAAAAACAAGTTGATATGACTAAGGAGTTCTTGTCTTCCAAATTCTCTATGAAGGATATGGGGAAGGCTGAAGTGAGACTTGGAATCAGAATTAAGCGTGAACACCAAGGAATTTCTATCTCACAATCTCATTATATTGAGAAAGTACTAAAGAAATTTAATTGTTCAAATTGTTCCCCGGTTACCACTCCTATGGATCCGAGTATGAAACTTATGCCCAATACAGGTGAAGCGGTTTCACAACTCGAGTATTCAAAAGTCATTGGATGTTTAATGTATGCCATGGCTAGTACTTGGCCAGACATTGCATTCGCTGTAGGAAAATTAAGTGGATTTACAAGTAATCCCAGTACTCATCACTGGCAAGCTATAAGGCGGGTGCTAAAATATTTAAAGAAAACCAAGGACTATGGTTTGTCATATATGGGATTTCCTTCGATTATTGATGGGTACTCTGATGCAAGCTGGATTACCAATTTTGAAGATCACTCCTCCACAAGTGGATGGGTGTTCCTACTTGGAGGAGGAGCAATTTCTTGGGCCTCTAAAAAGCAAACTTGCATCACAAATTCAACAATGGAATCTGAATTTGTAGATCTATCTGCTGGGCAAAGAGACAGAATGGCTAGGAAATTTTATCTATGAGATTCCTTTGTGGTCAAAACCAATCTCACCCATTTCGTATACACTGTGATAGTGCTGCCACTTTGGCAAAAGCATATAGTCAAGTGTATAATGGAAGTCGCGACATTTGGGTGTTAGACATAGTATGGTATGTGAGCTGATCACTCATGGGATTACCTCTATTGTATTTGTTCGATCACAACAGAATCTAGCTGATCACTTGACTAAAGGATTAGCTAGGGACTTGGTAAATAAGTAAGCTATAGGGATGGGTTTAAGGACCGTTTGATATCTCTAAGGTGAGATACCCAATTCCCTTCTAATACAATATTAGGAGTTGAATTCAATGTGGAAATCTTACTTTTGGAGATTGAAGCACATCATCAACATCATCCCAAGGTATGTGCTTAGTCCTGCAGACTAGAGTTAGATTGAATATATTTCTTAATGGTTCTTTTGAAAAAGTGCATTTGCAGGTGCATGAAGTAAAAGGGCTACCTATGCGAGTGTGAAGTGTCACCGCTTCCGAAAGCTTGGGCTTGGCTTTTTATGCACTCATGAATGGATAGGACACATGGCTTAGTAATAGTGTCAAGTGTAAACACTAGATTGTGTGTATTAACTTATGTGTATAGTATCTTCAATTACTCAAATGAGTTGATGGGTTCAATCCTTGGGACACCCTGATTCTCGAGTATTTGGAACGTATATTATACTAATGTGGAAATTCAATCTTCTAGATATTTTCATTTGATGAGTTTGATTTTATGTTTGAACTTAGTTGATAAAGGATTACACTAAAATGGGGGAGGAATGTTGGTGATTTTACTGTCATCTAGCCATTTGGTGTAGTCAAGATTAATGTGAGACAAAATGAGTTTAATATTGGCTACAATTCGAGTTCGGAGGTGTGGATCGCACACTCGGATAAGCTAATATGAACTCGGGAATACGGGTCAAGGGAATGTTGAACCACTGCATCATCTATTTCCAAGTGAAATGAATCGTCACATCTTTTCCTAACAAATGCAACCTTTCCCTCTTTATATAACTAACACCTTTTTAGTTAATTAACTGAATTAACTACCACTTTTGGTTAGTTAACTGAATTAACTACCACTTTTGGTTAGTTAACCGAATTAACTACCACCTTTTGGTTAGTTAACCTAATTAACTAACACCTTTCCGAAAAGGTGTGTCTTTTGGTATTCTATATATACCCATGTTCCATATTTGCTAAAGACATACGAAAAACATACATTGGTTTTTCTCTGTCGAATTTGTCTCTACAAACATAATCTATAACAAGGTATTCTGTGTTCTACTAATCTTGGATTTGCCAGAAATCCGGATTGAATTATTGGATTCGTGTAACCTCAGGTTATAGGGTCGAATTAAAGTGTTCCATACACGATCCAATTAATTATCCAAGTTTATTGATATTCTGAATCCCTAGAAATCTAACATATTCCAGGCCAAGCTTAAGCTCACCATTACATTAAAATATTCTACAAAAACACATTGGTGCATACCAAGCATCGCATGATATACAAGCACACATTTAGCAAGATTTTAGGCGAACTAAAATCTCAATCTAGGATATCTTAAGGACAAAGAAACACATATGTATTCTGGTACTGAATTATGAGTTATTCATCAAGCCAGGTAATATTACATAGTAAACTTACACTCTAAATCTACATCTATCAGAGGCCTTGCTTGTCACCAAGACAGCACAAAAGATATGGTATACAGCAGATGTGGATTTGATATCAATTCCAACACAAATTTTGTTAACATATTCAGTTTCCCCTAGGCTTAAGAGTAAGGTCAAATGAAAAACTAGAAACACAATCACACATACATATAGTGTGGTACAATCGGGAACCCTAAGAACGTCCTTTCAAACAGACACACTGATATAGAGATTATCAAATGATTAAACCCATTACTCAGAATATGGTACATCTACATGACTGATAACATTGGATCAGAAATATGCATCGGTTACTCACCTGCCAGGTAATCCTAGTACTCTGTCGGTTCCACTTTAGGTGTCCCCTTTTGACATTTGAATGTAATAGTTTTGAATTCAGCATTAACAAGATCCATGATACATTTTGTTGCAACATTCCTCCACTGTGCACCAGTGCAATGTAGTTCAAATATTACATGTATTCATATCAATACTGAACTGACAAGTAGTTTGTTTTATATTTAAAGTCAAAAGGACAAAAAGAGACACCTAAAGTTTAATAGAGTAAAAAGTAGCAAGGTTCTAAATGACATGAGGCGAGGCGTGGCGTGGCAGAGAGGTCAAGCCTCAAGCCTTACGAGTTACGGCGAGGACACGACGTTTTTCAAGGTGTGCCCTAAGGCAGCATATGTATACATATATGTATGTATACTTGTGTGTGTTAGTGTTTTGGATGATCCCATAGAACAATTTAAATACATATAAAGTTATAAAACTAGAAAGGAAGAACAATTTATTTCAAATATATTGAGCTTATAAGAAAATGATATATCAAGACTGCAAAATCGGGATTAATCTCTCGAGTGTCTACTCGCTACCTTCTTCAATCTTGAAATAATTCATGTTCGACTCTCCGTGTATGGATATACCTATTTAGGGTTTTAGTTTTTATGGTCCCTTTTAATGTTTATTTGAGTATGAGGTGTCATACATAATTATCATTTATCCTCCGAGTTATATGTTTAAAAAAAGTAAAATAGAAAACACATGTTGTAACGCACCATAACGCGTCGTAGCACACCATAACGTGTTACAACGGAAGTCAAGCCTTAGAGTGGAGCCTCAGGGATTAACGTGGCGGCAAAGCCAAGCCTTGGTGCTGTAACGCGCATAACGAGGCCATAACGAGTTATTTAGAACCATGAAAAATAGTGAATACCCCCTCTCCCCTACCCCAAATTACTCTATTTCTGACCTAGTTCCTCAAAATATGTAAGTAATTCTGTAATGTAAACAAGCAACAGAAGCACAAGAAACAATCTCAGACCTTCTTTGAAAGAAACTGGAATACATTCAATGCAGCACCAGTAGTTAATGAAGGTTCTACAGTGTTTCTTGTAAAGCGCTCAGAATCTGAAGGTGGAAGCAAAGGCTGTTCGCGGATTCCCAATTCCTAGAAGTTCACATAAGGCACGTTTAACCAACATCGAGGAATTGAAACTCATCAACTTGAACCCTTGCATAGAAAATGATACTTACTTTTGCAACATTAGGCTCTAATGCATGCGATTGAGGAGCTGGGGCAGAAGGAAATGAAGGAAGAACACCCTCATTCTCATTATTGCGTGGACTATTATTATTATTACCCATCATGGTATGAACTGAGGAAGTACTGAAGAATAGGAAATAAGAACAGCAAAAAAGATAGAGAAGAATAAGGGTCAGAAGTCGGTCAGAAGTATGAATAGAAGATGGCCCCTTTTTGCCAATATTGCAAAAGGGAAGCAAAAAAGAAAAATCAAGTGCCCACACAAACCTCGAAAATCTCAGTGAACTACACTCTGGATCTACAGGATCCAATGAGACTGCAGTAGCATTAATCCCAGAGTTTCCAAGGTGAGATGGGAAAATGCCAGGGATCAGTTGCCCTTCTCCCAAGGCATATCCCTGGGGTAGAGAACCACCAAATGATGGAACTAAAGGAACATCAAGCAAAATATTTGAGTGTTGACTGGAATTTTGGCCAGGTAACGGAACAAAATCCTGCAAATAATTATAAGAATAATTACTTAAATATTTTGATAAGTACTAATGAATTCAAATTTCAACCCACAATTTATTGAGAATCAACTTCTACCTCATAAATTTGCTCTTGAGGATGGTATAGACGGCAAGATTGAGGATAGAAGGCTTCTGGAAGAGCACCTACATTACCTTGTGTAAGTAGATTTGGATCAAAAGTTGCAGGTCTATCACCTTCTCTGTGCTTCCCTCTAAGTGGAACTTTCTGAGATAGTACCCTTTGTACTATTGTTATCCCCTGCAGGAACAGGCACCAACATAAACACAAGATGCAAAGAAGTATAACCATCCTGTCATGGTTAGATAGAGCACAACTCAAAGACGTAACTATCATTTTATAACTCCAAGAATCATTGAACAGCAACATGTGCTATCTTATTTCCATGGAGTTGTCTTATTTATACATTATCGCCAACAACTGATACTGACAGCAAAATCACTAAAAGAAATTCTAAGAAATTAGTATTAGCTTCTTTTTTTTTTTGCAAAAGAAGGCATGTGGTCATTTAGTAGGCGATGCCAGGGGATAGGAACCTAGTTGTAAAGAAAGCAGATCTTTAGGAATTTTGATTGTTTTAAGACAGGACTTGATTCGCACTACCGGTATTTGATTAAGAATGGCTCTTAAATTATCACCTTACGATATCCTACCATCCTATAAGTTTCTTGCTCCAATTAGATATCCAAGGATAGGTTTACTATATTGGATCGCCATATGATCCTCAATCTATTAAAATCTGAAGCTGATAACTATTTATTTATGTGGCGAGATTTTGATCCATGGAAGATCCCTTAAGAAGACAGGCATGTTTATCTCTCACATTGTACATTCTTCTCTGATCTCCCTCCCCCTCCCCTCTCTAAATCCCTTCATGCATAACTTTTGACAGTCGTTTGGCACTTGTGATGATGTCTTCAAAAAATAGATGAAGAACGTACCAACATCAAGAATACATTGCAGGTTGCATATTTTCATCAATCCTAGAGTAATACATTCTCACGTGTAATATAAGGAAATGAGTAGCATGGTTGTTATGCATCGTCATCACTATCGCTTCACCTGGGCATCCTGCAGTGACCAATTGGCACAGCATTCCCTCACCTTTAATGCAGGTGGCAATGGCAGCCGTCTTGCAACTTATCCATAGGCACAAATTTAGCACAATGAAAAAAAGTAAATAAAGAAAAAAAACACTTACCAAAATCAATTTTAAAATCAAAACTAAAACCCTAATAAATCATACGCTGTAGAGTGAATCAGCCGATACGAATTAGAAGATGAATACATAAAGCAGAAGAAATAGAAAGCACAAAAGCTGCATCACCAATAGCCAACCGTTTAGTCTCCTATAATCAGCCAAACAGAGTCTCCACTCTCTTCTTCATAATTATAAAAATAAAAAGACCAACTTTACATTTTTTGTTTATTTATTTCATTATTTTTCTTTCATGTCTTTTCTTCTCTATGTGGTTCTTATTTCATTTCATCTTTTTTCCTTCTTCCTTTCTCCTTCCCTTTGGTGGAATAATAAGTATGCATTATTATTATTTATTTATTTTCCTTTTCCGAAGATGAAATTACCTAATGGAGAGCGATGCTCAGTCGTTTTTCAGGATGTTCAAGTCATTAAAGCAACATAGTATTTGAAAATTTTAGCTCTAAATTTCAGCTGACAGTAAATCCTAAATTCTAGACAGTGAACATTATGGTATTTATGTTTGGTGTATGTGTTTTTAATTCTCAAAGTATAGGTGGTCAGTAGTGTAGTATTAATATTTTGAATGTCAACTTATCTTTAGTGTTCTCAATATCAAACATTTTAAATTTGATGGTACTACGTAGTGTACAACTTGATGTTGTGATGACATGGCAAAGGTGTATCACCGAAGCGACCTTGAGGTTGGCTAACATCATGTCTCACCATGGAGCCATAGCAACTACATTCAGTAATATGGCAGATGCAACTTTATGAAAACCATTTCCAAGGACCTGGAATTAACTTTAAACAATAATGCTCAAATATAAATGCCAATTGGTCTCTCCTAATGTGGGGTTAGAATTTTAACTACCCAAACCACTTGAGGAAACTTTAAAGCTTAAATGCATGTAAGACCAGTGACAGGATTCAGCAGATCAAACCTTATCCATTGCAGCCTTTTCAATTGATGCACAGCCCAAATCAAGGTTATCATGAATAACACGTTGAATGGCTTGTTCAGGTAATTCACTTGCAATATTAAAACCATGTAACAAGTTTCTTAGCTGAGTTGATATCGATCTACGGAGCGGTTCCTACAGCAAGGTGACCACCGTCAATAACAGTAACAAGGTATCGAGAAGATCACATAAGTTTTTGTCAAAAAAATAATATATACAAGAACCGAACAATTTGATTACAATTACAAAATTAACAAGGAACCTTGCAGGTCACATAAGCTAGATTTCCAGCCAGATGCACAACCATCATGCATGATGCTTCAAGTATGCAGTTCTCATCCAACTCAGTACTATACTCCTGTCATTTTATATACAAAAACCTTCAGCAAGTATATGGAGAATTGAAAAGTATCACCATTCAAAGAACTAACTGAACATGCATGACACCTTTAAGATAAGTTCCACTGTTGTATGAGATGCTATAGAAGCACTTCTCTGGACAATACTAGAAATTATTTCTTTAATGGCATTATCCATTGCCAGTGGGAGCACACTGCAAAATAAAATAATAACAACGCTTAACAAGTAGTGCAGCAACCCACTTTCAGTTTTCTAGATGCAAGGAGAGGAGGAGAGTAGAACCTCTGGAAATGCATATCGAGATGAGAAGGTTGGAGCTCAGGGTTAACATTAACCGGCTGCAGTAAGTTTAATGCTGGTGCAGGTAGCTGCAAATGCAATGACCATCTCAATTAAAAACTCAACAATTTTAGACCAGATGTTAGTTGTATTAGGAGTTCCATTTTGTTCTTTGTTATGAACCGGGTAGATGGAATAATCGAAATAAAATCCAAATAGTAGGAACAGATGTCAAATGCTTCAATTAACAAGGAAAACGAGGAACAAACTAGCATTCAGGAAGCTAGAACTCTCCCATATAAGACCCACTAATTTTCTGCACATCTCTCCTACAACCGGACCCACTAATTTATATGCCTAGCATAATAGGTATGACCCAAATGCCCCTTCTTCTAACAGAATAAGTCCCCAAAATAACTGAAATACCCCTTCTAACCTCTTCTAAAATCCATAATGTACTGATGGGACTAGACTTGGATCAGTGTATTAACATTTTTATATTAAGACCCATAGTCACACTGTATTTATCAAGGATTTTCCCTTCAATAATAGACATCATTGCAGACCAAGAACCCATATATGGTATATGTGCATAGACTCAGATACCAAAAAACCCCAGTCAAACTAAAAAATGGCTTCCTTACAAACATAAAATGATGTAACCTAGGAAAACTCATTCTTTGCTATCATCAGCAACCATCACACCCTCACTAACGTCAAACACCATCACCATTGTTCTAGGTTATGCCACCATGTTGTCCTAGACTGATCATCATGGTTCATAGTAGGTTTCCGTTGTCCAACATGGCTTAGCTATCGTCAACAGCCTTCTTGCGGCTCTGATCATAAGTTGCAACAATACAAGTGCAGGGATATGATTCCGTGATATGCAGGTTTTGGATTGACTATGACAGAAATTAACGACATGGTGTTTCTTTTTCATGTGTATGTGCAATACAGGTCTAAAATCAAGCTAATAAAATAAAAACTTATATTCATAATTCATATACCGAATATGTAAAAAAAAAAAGCACACGTACAGAGTTTAAGTTGCCTCGTTTTGCCTTCTTTATCTCTTCCAGAGACATAGGAAGCTCTAATAAGATATTTTAGCCAGAAATCCTAAATTTTATAATTTGCATCTCTCCAATTTTTTTTAAAATAGATCTAATCCCTCCCCTCCTCCTATTCATAATTAACAATTTAAGATACAGTCAAAGTTGCACCCCACGACCATATCCACCACACCCTAAAAGCACCTGAAACATACATCAATGTATGGCAGAAGTGCCCTTGCTTCCCAATTGTACCTCATCTTACAAGAGCCTCCCTTAGCTTGCCTGATGCCATGATTACTTCATTCTATGAACTTCTTTGTTATTTCTATGTTCCAGAACAAACACTGTAACTGTTGTCCTCTGTGAGAATATGTGGAAGCCCCAAATCACTCTCCAAAAAAAAAGCCCTTAAGAAGAAAGGGGAGATTCCTACATATATACAGGAGAAATGGTCCAAATCTAGCCGATGTGGGACTCCAACACACCCTCTCCAACTGAAATTAGATGGACACAAATTGTCCCAGGGTGTTGAGAGGGGGTTAACCAGAATGTCGAGTCCCTAAAGTGGCAGGCCTTGGCTCTGATACCATATGTAGAAACCCCAAATCATTCTCCAAAAGAGCCCTCGAGGAGAAAGGGTAAGTTCCAACATATATACAGGAGAAATGGTCCAAGTCTAGCCGATGTGGGACTCCAACACACCCCCTCGCGCGGTGGCTAGTTGGACACAGATTGTCCCAAGGTGTCGAGAGGGGGCTAGACAGAGTGTCGAATCCCTAGAGTGGCAAACCTTGGCTCTAATACCATGTGAAAATATGTGGAATCCCCAAATCACTCTCCAAAAGAGCCCTTAAGGAGAAAGGGGGAGATTCCAACATATATACAGGAGAAATGGTCCAAATCTAGCCAATGTGGGACTCCAACATCCTAGATGATAGATTGACCTCCAGTTTACATTTGGTTTAACCAGAAAGACATATTACTTCTTCTCCACTAAATATTTTGGGTATATTTCATGTCCATGACCACCATCTATGAGGTACTAAGCTTGAACCCATGTCCTGTAAGTGTGCCTCTGTAAGTTACTCTCTTATTAAATGAAAAAAAAAAAATGCTACAATCTTGTTCTCAAGAGGTATTCGGCTAATGCGTAATTTAATTAGTTCGACCGGTATTTAGTTAATGCATGTTTTCATGAGTCTAATATTAATTTATCTCCTAGGTTTGTAGCATCCTTGTCTCTCCAATCATGTATCCATTATATATGTCTTATAATTGCTTGAAGTTCCCATCTAAGTTTGTCATATAAGTTTCAGGATTCCCCTCCAATCACATTTGTGCTCGTCACAGATCTCTAGACTAGGCAACTTAGCACCCTAAAACTACCATCCACGAGACTATACTCTTGTCATAACTAAGGGTTGCTCCTCATTTCCAAGCTCTCATACACAACTAGCTAAATGACGATACAAATCTCAACTTTTTACTCAACCTGATAGTCGTCGGCCTAACCTGCCTTACTTCTTTACCCCTAATGTCATGTGCAATGGCACCCATAGTTTTACCAAATCATAACCTAAGATAATGTGGCTTATAATGATCTCTCTATCTCTCTTAAATATTTTGCTTTTAGTATGATTTGTAAACAGTTATTGCATTTCAGAAAATGTGTCGATCGCACTTCGATATCATCTTGATACGAACTCTTGTAGAAGATGGATAAACCTAAAAAAGAATCAAACTTAGCTACTTCCCTATAGCCATCTTCTTGTAGGTTAGAGATGGTCATTCCATATGAAATTTCATTTGTATTATCTTTATTGCCAAAAAGCAAGTCTAGTAGCAGAAGGCCATATACAAGCATATGGGATTGGTAATAGTTATGAAGCATTTTATCCCTTGTACAACCCCAGGCTATATCCACGTGGAAGGGATCCTAATATGTTCACTTCCTGACGATTCTCATCTATGTCAACTTCCTTGATCTATGCATCCACTCTAGAGAAGGTGAATACTTTGAATCACATCTGAAGCATACCCATTATCCTGTTTTTCTTGTATTGCCTTGGTCCTCCATTTAGAACCCGGTTGGGATCCCGTGTTTCCAACCACATCGTGCATCCATTATCTTCAAATGGATTGGCTTGGCTATCGTTGTGATGCTTAGTGGCTCCATTGGCTTGTTTACCCCTAAATGCAGTGACCCCCTAAGGCACCCTAACATACTTGCTCCACTTTGTTTCTCTATCTTCTAGCCACGTTTCATTACATTCTGTAACCTTTAACAGTCAAATTGTAACAACTCAGCCTAGATGTTCGGCCTCAATCCTTTCAAGAGTTCCTCTAGATCCTTGTCAGAGATTCCATCCATTCGACTCAAAAGCTCTTGTATGTTTATATGTTCTGCTACACCATTTTGGGATGAAGTTCCAACACAAGATGTTTCTTGAAGTATGCCATTTTGAACCATATAAGATTGAAGTAAAGTAAACTATATTCTTTGGCATCACTTCCCAAATGGAAACATAGAATTGAGTTTTAATTTAAGCATAAAAGACACAAAACAAAGACAACAACTCAAAACGTTGTTTATTAAATATAACCAAGTTAAACAAGAATAATCATCTGCAAAGGTAACAAAATACAGAAATGTGGTCCTAGACAAAATCGGACAAGCCCCCCAAACATCAGAGTGAGTTAACGCAAAGGGAAGACACTTGCATATTTATGAATTCTAGGACACAGGATCGATCCTTCACTTGGTGATCGTTCGTGAGTCGAACTCACTCTCTTGCCACGCCTTTCACTCATTCGCTTGAGTTGAAAAGATGATGTTTGCAAACTAACATGATGCACAATTTAACAAGGACACCTTGCTACATAGTGGACAAAGCTTATTGAATAACAAGAAAGATGGATGACCCAATTGATAATGAGCCTTAAATCGAGATGTGCATTTGAACAAGCGATTGATTATGGTAGCGTGTCCAGAACGTATAGGACTCAAGACTTGTGTCCTTTACTAATAGTGTGCTTAGTCATAAGATCTTGAAATAAACAAATGATCAGAAAAAAGTGAGACACAACATTTAGGATTACAAGTTGGTTGACTGACAAAGAGCAAATTAAAGGATAGATTAGGTAAAGGTAAGACATATGACAAATTGGGCAAAGGGTAGGATTGATAGTGCCTGACCCATGAACACAATCATAGGAATAGAAGCACGTGACTGAAAAGTATAAAAGAGGCAAGGATTACATGTCATATGTTCTCTCGCACCGGAATCAATCATTCATTTGGAGGACGAGGAAAGAAGATATGCATTGCATTTACTTGAGTCAGCAACAATAATAGCATAAGAAGATGAAGACTTGAGGGATTCACCATGTTTTTGCTAATTCTCGGATTGAAGCTTTCTGCACCCAAACTTCCTATGACATGGTTTATGACAACAATTCATATAATGCTTCTGAAAGCCGATATTTGAGGTTCAAATCTTTGTGAGCTACCACCTTTGTTTCTGGTATGGTTAGATGACCTCTCAAGGGCATCATTATTATTCTCACCAACCAAAGCACTACTGCATGGAATGGATGAGGGAGGACTCTCTATGCAGAGAACGTGACTGAAGATGTCTTGTAAAGAAGAGACCTTAGAGTCGGAGAGATTTTGTGACACAGGAGACTCAAAATCAGAAGAGGCTGACAAGGAAACTCATGATAGCATCTTCTCTCATTGGCTTTTTGTTGAGCTTTTACATCTGAACTAAAAGGCAACTAAAGAATCTGGAGCTGTCAATAATTGCATCAAAGATCTTGGGGATCCTGTCAATTAAGGGTGTTATCCATGATTTCCAGCATTCTGTTTTTAGAGATTTTCTCTATCCTTTCTTTAGTTGAAAGGATTCTACCTTTTGTATAAATAGTCTTGCTTTGTGTTTTATAATATACAGAAAAATATATGAAAAGCCTTTTAGGCTCAACTCTGTTTGGTTTCTAGATGGTATCAGAGTGTGGTTTCTGATCATCATCTTTCATAGAAAACCTTTAACTTAGGTAGATAACAACCGGACCAAACGGCTCTGGTTAGCGAGTGCACCAGCTCCACCACCGACAAAAACAAATCCAACAACCCTCCTTCGCACAGGTTCAACAAATGGTTGCTCCAAATATCTTTCCCATCATTGGTCACAAGCTAAACGGCCAAAATTTTAGCTTGTGGTCACATTCCATCTAGATCTTCATTGGCGGCAAGGGAAGAGAAGACCCTCTCTCAGGGAAAAGCGTGTCCCCTGAAGAAGGAGACCCCACTTACAAACAATGGAAAACCGAGAACAACATGGTAATGTCGTGGCTTCTCAGCTCCATGGCGGTTGAATTCAGAGAGCAATTCATCTACTACAAAACCGCCACTGAAATCTGGGAAGCAGCAAGGGACATCTTTTCTAATAAAGATAATACCTTTGTTATCTTTGAAATCAAGGGGTTACTCCATGATCTCCGGCAAGGAGACTCCATAGTTACGAGTTATTACACGGCCCTAACTCGTTTCTGGCAACAACCTAATACTCTCGATGAAAATATGTGGAGCTGTCCCACTGATGCAAAGCGATATAGGCAGATCCTCGAAACTGACAGGATCTACATGTTCCTTCTCGGTCTAAATCGAGAACTAGATGAGGTTCGAGAAAGAATGCTCCGCACTAAGCCACTGCCAACATTCGTGAAGTGTTCTCTTAGGTTCGACGTGAGGAAAGCAGAAGAAAGGTAATATTTGGAAGCACTACTACCTACCTGGTTGGAGAAGGGGCTGCCCTAGTTGCTCGATACCCATCACCTAGTGGGAAATTTCAATAAGGTAATTCCAGAAAAGGTCAGGACGACCATGGTGCGACCACTGCAAACGGACAAGTCATACAAAAGAAGTATGTTGGAAAGTTCATGGGAAACCAATGGATCGGAAATCAAACCTTTCAGAAAACAATGGCCGTGAAAATATTGAAAATTCTCAAAGTCATGAACGTTTCAGCAACGAACAGTAGCAACCGTCCAGAAAATTCTCCAAGACACGCTACGGGGAACTCAATCCTTTGATCAGACAAAAATGCAATCATGGCACTAAGGAATGCGTTGACCACTCATATGGAGCAAAAAAACCATGGATTGTGGATTCTGGAGCATCAGATAATATGACTGGCAACCGAAACATCTCTCCACTTTTCAGCCAGAATCAAGTGGTCCACCATACGAGTAGCAGATAGGTCTAATTCACAAGTCACGGGTATTGGTACAGTTGTTATATCAAAGGAAATCATGTTAAAGTCTGTGCCTTATTTTCCAAATCTGGAGTACAACCTTTTATCTATTAGAAAACTCACCCAAGACTTGAATTGTTGTGCTAATTTTCTCCCTAATATATGTGAATTTCAGGTTTTGAACTCGAAGAAGAAGATTGGCAGTGCTAAAATTTAGGCAGGTTTGTATCTCCTTACCAATGTGTTCGCCAACCCCTCCAAACTCAAGCCACCCTTGTTTACGGTTTCTAGCGTAAAAAGTGATGTTATGTTATGGCACCGTAGACTGGGTCATCCCAATTTTTTGTACTTAAAAGAAATTATTCCCTGAATTAATAAAGAATTCTAGTTCTCTTAAATGCAAAACATGTCAAATCTCGAAACATGTTCGACATTTCTACCCGCCAGTTCTTTATAAAGCCTCTCATCCATTTCACCTTATTCAAAGTGATGTTTGGGGACCTTCTCAAATAAAAAATATAATTGGGTCATGGTGGTTCGTCACATTTATCGATGACCACACCCCGCATAACTTGGTTATTTTTAATGAAGGAAAAATCTAAAGTTGGGACTATCTTCCAAAAGTTCCACAAAATGATTTAAACCCAATTTTCCTCAAAAATCCAAATTCTAAAAACCGATAATGGTAAAGAATATTTCCAGTCCGAACTTGGAACATACCTTTCCCAAGAAGGGATTGTCCATATCAGTTTCTACGTGAACCCACCCCAACAAAATGGCGTGGCTGAAAGAAAAAATCGGCACCTCTTAGAGGTTACCCGCTCTCTCCTATTAGCCAACCATGTTCCTAAGCACTATTGGGGAGAGGCCATTATGACATCCGCATATTTGATCAATCACATGCCCTCTCGAATGCTCACTTTCCAAACACCACACCAAACACTCTTATCCACCTATCCTCATCTCATAATCATGTCCCATATTCCTCTAAAAGTGTTAGGGTGTATAGCCATTGTCCACAATACGCAGCCAAACCGAAGCAAACTTGATCCACGAACGTTTAAATGTATATTTATGGGGTATTCCCCTAACCAAAAAGGGTACAACTACTACTCTCCATCCACAAACAAAGTATACAACACCATGGATGTTACCTTCTTCAAAGAACAACCATCCTATGCCAAAACCGATATTCCGGGGGAGAATGTGGAAGAATACCGGTTCCTGGCATACTCAGACACTACAAATCAGCCCTCACCTGTCCTCTCACCGGTCTCAAATTCACCGGTCTCAAACTTGCCCGTGGCAGAAAAAAAATCAGCCTATTGATACTGAAAACACAATTCCAAAAGATTACATTGTGTATACAAGGTTACAGAAACCTACTGCAAATCAGCCCTCACCTGTCCTTTCACCAGTCTCAAATTCACCGGTCTCAAACTTGCCCGTGGCAGAAAAAAGTCAGCCTATTGATACTAAAAACACAATTCCAAAAGATTACATTGTGTATACAAGGTCACATAAACCTATTGTTGAGCCGATGCAATATCAAATTACTTCTCCACGGTCACAACCGGCAAATGATCATACAGGTAGTAATCCTTCCTTCTCATATAATACTGAAAATTTTGATGACCTGGAAATTCCAATAGCTCTCAAGAATGGGAAACGGAGTTGTACGATGCACCCGATAGGCAACATCGTGTCATATGAGAAATTATCACCCAAGTATAGAGCTTTCACTACCAACTTGGATGAGATAAAAATTCTCAGGAACATACAAGAAGTTGTTTATCAGAAGGAATAGAATGAAGCAGTAAACGAGGAGGTCAAAGCCCTGAAAACCAATGGCACATGGGAATATACGGAACTACCAAAAGGAAAGAAGATAGTTGGGTGTAATTGGGTTTTCTCTGTAAAATACAATGCCGATGGAAGCATTAGCAGATATAAGGCCAGGTTGGTGGTTAAGGGTTTCACTCAATCATACGGAATTGACTACTCCGACACCTTTGCACCGGTCGCCAAACTTAACTCCATAGTGTCTATAGCCGCTAACAGGACTAGCCTCTACAATGGTTGGACATCAAGAATGCTTTCTTAAATTGCAAAAAACCCGGTGATCACGATAGAATGAAACATGTGTAGATAGCATGACACTTTATCAGAGAAGATATAAACAAGAGCCCTTGAGATCTCCTTCGTGCCATCTGAACTTCAAGTAGCAGATGTCCTTACTAAAGCTTTACCCAAGGGCAAGTTCGAAAAAATGGTAAACAAGTTGGATATGATCGACCTCCATACCCAACTTGCGGGGGAGTGAAGAATTTCTGGAGCTGTCAATAATTGCATCAAAGATCTCGGGGATCCTGTCAATTAAGGGTGTTATCCCTGAAAGCATTATGTTTTTAGAGATTTTCTCTATCCTTTCTTTAGTTGACAGGATTATCCTTCTTTTGTATAAATAGCCTTGCTTTGTGTTCTATAATAAACAGGAAAATATATGAAAAGCCTTTTAGGCTCAACTTTGTTGGTTTCTAGAGCAACAATGTACTAGGCTCCAAGTATGTCTTCTTGAACTCCACAAAATAGTTTATAAGAAACGGGGCCTACTTTTCCATACGATAGAAAGCTTGGAAAACCTCATACATGTGGGATAGATTCCCTTTGTTGGGGTACAAAAACTTCAAATGATCCATTAGCCCAATTACCTCACTATCAATAGAATTCCAAAACTTGAAGGAACAAACAAGCATCATCTTTTAGCCATGTTAGATCATCCTTTCGTTACGAACCAATTTTAGGAGGATTATCAGTCAAATGGAAATTTTTGTTGATACTCCATAGATAAAGACGAACAATCTTACTCCAATCCAAATAGATCGAACCATTTAGCTTATGCTTCGTAATTTTAGACATTATTGGCACCACATCTGTCGCACTCCGACTTTTTTTTTGCTCATAACGTCTCGATAATGATATAAATTTGATGACTTGAAGAAACCCAAAACTCACACAAGATGTAATTATTATTATTTTTTGTACAAGCCTCCTCATAAGCACAAAATGGCAAGTATAAGTTAGAAGCACAAGAACTAAATAAACGGCAAGTATAAGTTAGAAGCACAAGAACTAAATAAATGGCAAGTATAAGTTAGAAGCACAAGAACTAAACAAGGCATACGCAGGTGATATTTAGCAACAAATAGCAAAAAGTAATAAATCACACAAGGGGGATGGTGATAGCAGGGAGATGGAAATTTTTGAACATGGTGACAACCTCAAGGACCTCTAACTTCTAATAAGACGATTCTGGGTTTACACTTGATGGCAGAAAAGACGAGACAGACAAACAGGTTCGAGGTTCATATCTGGCAGGTCGGACCAAAAAGTGCAATAGGTCCAAAACGACATTGAAGTTCGAAAACAGTGTCTAGGTTCGAAAACACAGCGGCTGTATTTCCAAATGGGGCAGCTAAGGTTTGAAGTCATGGAAACGCGATGGAAACATTGGCTGCAACGGCGCGGGTTCGAACCTAAACACGGCTAGACTTTCAGTTATGTATAACGGTTTCCATAGTTTTATCTTATTCAGGTCTTGCCTAGGGGCCTACCACAAACCTAAACATTTACACATATAATACAAAAATGAATTCTAACCACACCTGGGTAACTGGAAATGGCAACTGTGCTACTTGATGTCCTTGAGCAGGTGAAAGCTGACTGCATGAGCCTAAAGTTCTCATCTTCTCATCCTCACCCAACATCACAGCAGGAAGATGGAGTGGAGCAGCATGCTATCCACCAAATAAAAGACACCAGCAAATTAGATAGGCAGTCAGTGAAATAGCTTGGATATTGTAAAAAACATCTATAAATAACAAACCTGGTATAACATATGTGAATGGCCACCCTGATAAGTCGGAACAGCAGCTTCAGGTGGCAATTCAACTTGATTTACATCAGATCTCATGGTAGAATTAACTTCTTCAACAATATGTTGTTGAGAAGACCCAACATCTTTGTTAGAAAAATCAGGGTTTCCTTCAAATTTCCTCACCCTGCCCTTAAGAAGAGATGATGGAGGTACTGCCTTCAAATCCATATCAAGATTTTTGAAAAAAACCTGAAAGGGCAAACCAACATGAAAAAACATGTGTCTGAGAGAGAGAGAGAGAGAGAGAGAGAGAGAGAAAGAGAGAGAATACACAATCACAACACCCCAACTCCAGTTGCAGTACACATAGATTCATACGTACTTCAATTTCAAACTTGAGATTCACTTTGAGGTTTGGCATTGCATGAATTTCTGCAAGTAATCCAAGAATTCCCATAGTCCAAGGATTTGGTGGTTGATATGCTAGACTGCTTTGGCATGGTTCCAAAATCTACAGTGAAACAAATATTAGTACCAATAACCCTGGTGATTTAGAGAATAATCATAAACCGGCGGAATTGCATACCTTGGAGATAAATGGAATCACTCCAATCATTAAACCCTTTTCATAAGCCTATAGAAGTTAACAAGTAAACTTATTATATATCGTACCCAAGTCAAGAAGATCCTATACTAACAATAAAGCTGATTGCGAACACAAACTCGTGAGGATGGAAAGGGACGAAAATGTACCTCCAGAAGTAAAGATTTTGGATCAATATCTCTGGCTCTTAGAACTCGGTTTCTACCAATTGTAATCTTCCCAAGCCAACCTCCAAGATTCTTTAGCAAGGAACGCTCTTCCGCACTGGACTTTATGAGCTCAGATCTTAAAAGAACCTGTTGCATTGCCACATAATCTAGTACTCCAGACTCTACAAAAGTACCAGATCTGAATGCACCAAAGATAGGCTAGAAAAGACTACCTTGCAATTCTCGTAAGTTGCTCGAACTACCTCTTCGTTCAAGTGTGTTGAATTAGCTCCTTGTAGGAAATTCGAGTACAACATATGAAAGTTTGGTTCGATGCTTGCTCTGTCAACATGACCAGTAAACCATTTAGAAAAGAAATGTCGATATCATTGCATAAAAAGTAATCATAGTTCTCTTAATCTCCTCCTTCCTAAACTAATTATCATTCATCTGACAGAGTATTTTGGTTGTCATGGTGTTCATCCTTAAAAAATGTTATATTATTTTTTGATAAAGAAAAAATGTTATCTCTAGTACTCTGTAAATTAGACGTGTTGAACTACAATTTCCCAGGGGTCGCAAAAGACATCAGTACACATGCTTCAATAAAGCGAACAAAAATCAAGGTAGAAGGGATGTATTAAGGTTGACAAAAGGCTGCAAGATGTGTTCACATTAAACCAAAAAGGTCATAAATTTTCTCACCTTTTCATAACTATATACTGTCCAAACCAGGGATAGTACTGTTCTTCAAGAACCTCTGTAAATTCTTTCGCTTTAGCTTCCACATTGGCAGCAGATAAATTATTAATAATGAGAGAGATCCGATCCTGAGTTTCTGATGGTGGGGCCTATAATGGAGAAGCAGGTAAAATAAGGGCAGGCCCCCAATTATAATCTAACAGAACTAATACTTAAGCAAACATTGAGGTATCAGATACTCATGAAACCAATCAGACAAGTAAAAGGGAAGCCTCTCACCGTCTAGTTCCTCAAATTCTAATGTTAAATAATTGGAATTTAACTTAATACCAAGCCAGAGATAGATGGCAAACCTCTATGGGTGTTTCCCTTCTTTCAGCAGCAGCAAGCAGTGTTCCAATGCTTGATGCAGAGCCAAACCCTGCAAAGCACAAACATTTTTTTTGCACTGTAAGCAAAAGGTAACTGGTTGACAAAAAAGCCAATATACTACAGACTCAGGGAAGAACAGATGCAATAGTGGGTGCATGCAATGAACCCACAAAATTTCACAATCACAAGAAACCTACTAGCCGAGGGGACTGCTGGAGATGGAGAACTAAAACCAGGAGAGGAAGACGTTTCTGCCGATGACTTGACTACACTCTGAGGCTGCATTGGAACAGGTTTGTGTAAAAAGGTTATCGGCAACAAATTCTGAAAATCGAGGATCAACTACCTAAACTGAGGCAAAGAAAGAACATAGCTCATACTAAATTGACAGCACAATGCTTACCTTCTGAATACTAACTGAGCCACTTGAGGTAGCAATTGAGACTTGTTCTGAAGTAGATAAGTTCAGATTCGTATCACTGGACGAAGTCAAAGAGGCTTTGTGTCTCTCATCCAAATGACTGACATTCCTCTGGTGTGGCTGGATTGGAGAACATACTTGAGAATCAATTTGTGCACCATCAGCTCCAGTCAAAGGGAAGGATGAAGCCGATATCTATGCGAAAACAATTTTGTACAATTCAAATATCAATCTACCATATTCCTAAAATAAACAAGCATATCATGGAGGATATTTGGGTCAAATTTCTGTGATGTGGTAACAGCACATCATTAACCAAGATTAATCCCCACTAGATATCTAAAAGAATGAAAGCTGGCCCAAAACCAGGATAGAAGGTAGATTTCTTTAACTACAGTGTCTGTTGTTTATTGCATATTTCTTATGGTATATGTACATGACTAACTGATCATATCTTTCCTTCTTATTTTACATCATCAAGATGTAAAATAAATTAGTACACGTATGAACCAGGTTGCCAGAAAGAAAATGTGTTATAAACGAACATCTCTAAAGAAACCAACTTATTAACTGCACATGCATAATCTCTATTGCATGCTACAACATTTCCAAAATTAAACATAACCTTGTAGCACCATGTCATTCTAGAAAACCTACAGTTTAACACGTTGAAACATCACTGGAACAATCCTTGCAACCTTTATCAAAATTTTCACATCCCTGGCTGGTTATAAACAGGTACAGTCATACATCTCTACTACCAATAAACTGACATTCAAATCAAAATGAATACTCAAGCACACGAGCAGCAGTATGTGATTCTAGTAAGTTTGATTTATCTTTGACCATGATGAGGTTATTTCAGTAAGAAAAAAACCAAAACAAAGGAAGTAGCTGGCTTCGTAGATAAGATATTACAGTACAAGCTAATAACATACCATTCCTACATGACCTAATACAGTAGAAGAATTTATATATTTACCATTTAAAATTTCTATAACATTTACAAGAGTGTTATGGCATGTACCAAAAAAAGATCATTCGGACACAAATTTACCTCAGCATTTGCTGGTGGGATAGAACTATGGTGTTGGTTGGTGCCAGGATTGTGGCCTTCATCTGATTTTGGATGGCTTGAGGAAGGACCGAGAAGCGTCTGTTCAATTACCAAAACAAGTCTGGGATGAGTAAGACATAGATCTGAGAACTGTAAGATCTTCTGGCTGTATTCTGGCCACTCAATCAAACAATCCACAAAACTTTCTAGGGCCTTCGTCCCAAAAACAAACATCTGCGCAAAGACATTTTGGTGATTAAAAAAAAGCCTCCAGATATAGCAATACCATTACCAGAAAATTAATACTAACTTTGGAATCTGTAGGTTCATGTAATGCATCCAAAACAGCTTGTAAGGAAATGCCAAGTATGGAATGGCTCACAAGACGATGCCTAATAAGCAATCCTGCGAGCAACATTTTTCATGCCATGATGGTAAGCTTGTCTGTTACATTAAAATAATACCATAATTTTTCACTTTCGAGTGAAAGTAGAGTTATATCAGAATAAACAAAAGTGTCACCATGATTTTGTTATAGTGAACTACTGATACCTGTCAACGGAAAAACTAAGATACAGCAGATAATAGACCTTTAAAGTATAACATTGCAAGACCACAGACAATTACGATTGTAACCTCTAAATATGTACTCATCCGAATGTCAAGATTGTGTAGAGTAAACAAAATAAAATCAACCATAGTATTTACTAAGCCAAACCAAATCAAACCGACCCAGTAAATCCCACTCGAGTGTAGGGTCAGGGGAGGATGAGATGTACCCAGACCTGACCTTTACCCAAAGGAGTAGAGCGGTTGTTTCCGTGACGACCCCCAGCTTGAGCAACCATAATATTTACACTTTGTTCATAAATGGAATTACTCGTGACATTCTAGAAAGTAAATCCTATGAGGCCTCACCAAATAGGACAGCAACAATCTTTAGTTGTTCATCAGGGTATCTGTTGATAAACTTGTACACTTCAAACAGGTTGTTGATCATGCACTCAAATACAGATTGCTCCCTGTGAAATCACGAAATGGTGGATTATAAGTTCGTTATAAATCAAATACTAAAAAATTGCTTCTGACTGGCATTTTGCGGATTACTACTAACAGAATGCTCCAGAAATTACTTTGCATAAGCTATATATAATAACTAATGCCACTTGTTGAAAAAATTACTACTAACAAATTATGCAACAGAAGATCATCAGAAATATTATTTGTGACAGTGCAAATACATCAGTGGCCTTCCAAGCAATAGTTCCCTCCAACATGTACAAACTTAATTGCACTACTAATCACCTTGAACCCAAACACTTCTTCACTTTTCATGCTATTCAGAGTTTGTAAGAACTTTAAACTTTAGAACGTGAGGAAGCTTATAATCTAATCAGGTATATTTCATGTCCATTTCAAAACTATTTACTGAAAATCCAAAACTAGTAATTTTTGAAGCATGGTCTACTAATTTAGAAGGAAAGCCAACCACGCAATGCAAACAAACACCTCAAGCTTTTCAAAACCCTCATTACCTCATACAACCTGGCAACCAGTACCTTCCACTCCCGGAAATCATGGTCCTTCAAAATTAGCAAACCAGAGAAACAAAGGCATCTCTTACGCTACTCACTAAATCCAATCATGTAACTCTAGACCAAAATCCCCTACAGCTCCAATCACCTAAAGGTGGCTTTAACTTAGGAAGAAAATACTGTTTTTCATTCCCAGAGATATTGTATTCATGAAAACATTATTCCCAGACTGCTAGGTTAATATCAAAACACCTCATACAACTCTCCTTGAGAATAGGGTAACAGCATGTAGTTAAACATCTACCACCCCATGGCCACAAAATATTATTAACCTGTATGATAATTAAAGATGGAATATGATGCTGAGGGCTCTCAACATTTTCTGATTTTCTCTAGCAACCAACACCCCATAGTCCGCTAAGTTCTGATCAATGCAAAAAATAGCATCTAAATGGGAAGGCTCCTTGTAGAGCTAGAAAGATGCTACTTTCTAGAAAACCCTCTCGGCTGTAATACGGTTGCTAGAAAGTCTCAAAGTCGCATGCTTCTTCCTTGACCAGTTCCTTGGCTAATGGCTGCTTGCTATAGACATCATACTAGCCTGTAGAATCACCTTGATCTCAACTCTACAAGAAAAAAACTAATCTATCATTAGCATTCACCTAAAGCCAGACTTACTCTCTCATGTTTTTAACCACAAAGAAATTCTTTACAAATCAATTGGCCTCCTGGTGAGCTTACCAGGAAAGGCATCCTGGAGACTTTACTATACTAAACAGGAAGTGATCAGGGCCGGCAGGAGCTGAACTAAACAGGAAGGGCATCCGATGACATTGCCCACAAATACAGCCGTATGGTTATTGACACCAGATCATTAACTCAATAGAAAGCCATCACCATTCACGTCTTTGTGATCATACAAGGGAATATTCACCTTCCACAAACCGTGCAGTTTGTTCATTTTACTATCTTGACTTAACGCTTACCGACGATAGCAAAGAAATCAAGGTGCAATGATCGAGGAATGAAGAACTGCATGTCAGGATCATATAACTATATCCAATCTATACAGGAACAGGGTCTGACACTTTTTAAGTTTTGGCTCCCCACAAAAAACCTAAAGCTGCCAAAACACGTCTCCTCCTCACCTAAACCAAACATGCAGATAGCACCCACTGGGTTCTGAGTACCATTACTTCCCACTTCATCACAACATACGATCAGAAAGCCAATGTGCATAATAGAATACATTAGTGAAGAAACCACAAAATTATAACATATTATCATACGAATAAAGAGAGAAGAAATATTTAGTGGTGACAAATGGACAATAAAAAGCAAACCTTTTTTCAGAAGATCCCTTGAACTGCGTAAGCATTTGAACCATTGCATCAACTGTCAACTGACCAGAGAACATCTGCTGGAAATACAGATTGACATCTGTCTCTACATCATCTGCATATACTTCAGATGTTGAAGAACTAGGGCCATCAATGTCCTTCATTATTTGACTATTGTGCATAGATGTTACATACAAACTTTCCATTTCCTCGAAAAGATGATTAGAGGAAAGCAAACTAGTGTGCAATTGAAGGACCTAGAAAAAAATATGGATTTCAAATTGCATGGACCGGAGATAGTTGAAGGTAAATGGTAACACAGCCATGTTGATAGGGTTAACCTTTAAAACTGTAGGGGCTGTCTCCTTATAGACACTCAAAATTTCACCATGGTCAGAAGAGTCCTGACCATCAACTTCGACCACCTTCAGGAATTCAAGGCACTCCTGAGAGGGTAAACGTACCTATCAGCCTATATATCATCTTTTTAACCTTGCCAGAGTAATGCAACAAGAACAGGGGATATCAACATATCTAATTATAACATAAGTGAACTCCATAATTATCTCCAGTCACAAGAAGTAAGAGATCTACAGTTCTCATTTACCTCAAAGAAAATGTCTTCGTATATACTCAAATTAGTGCTCAACCACTCCTCCAAATCTATGAATTCTTTTCGAGCAGCGAGAGCAGCCAGTCTAATTCCCAGAAACATGGGTACCAGAGCCAGTACAGATAATAGGATCTGTGACAGAAATATTAGAATACATACAATAGAGGAACACATAGTAAGCGAAACCCGTAAAATGTGCATCTCTCTAGAATCGGTTTTTTAACAGAATAAGACGAAAACACTACTAGAATATGGAAATAGAGAATAACAGCAACTAAAGAAAGCTTTTACACACATATGCGACAGTGATACTTCATAAAATAAGGTAAAACAAGACTTAGAAGTTGGAAACAGAGTCAAAGTATAGTTTATGCCATGAGATGGAGAACATGTATGATCTACTACAAATATTTAGCTAGCTCCCTTGCCCTGACAAACTTTTCTTAATCCCTCGTGCTTAGTAAAGCTTTTAAGATAAGAACAATTCACAATATTTTAACAGGTCAAGATAAAATGGTTGATTCTCTTTCACAATTTAATTTTTGATTGTTATTTTTATTAAAGGGAAACCACAGTGTATTAAGGCTACACAGCTTTGCAAGGGTTGAAGAGGGAAGTCCTTGTACGCAGCTTTACAATGATGTTGACAATTATCAAAGTTGTATACAAACCTTCCAAAAGAAATTATTTACTCATACTCTTCGTCTTTTCTTCAACATACATGTAAGGTAATGTTATCATTACATTCTCATAATAAGAAAACTAATAATCCTGAAGATCACTTCAGCAGCCAGGATCACTATTAGAAACTAGAAAGAGACGGGCATTCCACATTAAGCAATTACATATAATATGATATACTACAAATACACAAAAGTACCAAAAATCTTGAATGCCTTGATGGAAAAGAAATCTGACCTCTAACTCCTCTAACAAGTTGATGACTCTATATATGTTTTCTGGATCGAAGTTGAGGGCATCCTTCAGTGCTCTCGAAAAGAACACAGGGTTGACATGCCACAGTTTCAGAACGATTTCTCTCTTTGAATCGTCTTTCAGCAGCATAGGTAGCACAGCTGAAGAAACTTCATCTTGGAGGAGATTATATGGAGTCTGCATATTTTGATACAATATCATTGACCAAAAAGACTACATAAAAGAAACAGCATAAGTTACACAACAGTGAGGCAACATTACAATAACATGGGCCATCCCAAGTAGAAGCACGTCCGGGCAATGCTTCAAAGGGAACTCAAGCAATGACCGAACCGAAGTTGCTTGGCCTGCCTCAGCTAGTAGACACAGATGTTCTAAATGATCAATGCATAGCCATGGATGGCTTGCATGATCAGCATGAAACTTATGATCATTCTCTGCATCTGCATATCCCTGCAAAAAAGGTATTGGATGCAGATTCAATGCATATCATTAACAAGAACTGCAAAACTTATTCAGCATACCAGTAGTCTTCCAGAATGTGCAAACAATAATTCAGGTGACACTTTGAAAGCATGATTAATAAATGGCAACTCCCCTTCAGTGTTTTTCCATGCATTGCCATAAACAGCAGCAAATGGAAATGAATAATGCTTTGTCGTAGAGGAGGGGAAGTCTGAAAAAGATGCAATAAAAAATTAGCAAGCTTCTTATATGATCCTACAAGGATATCAGTGTTCCAAGGGTTCAGTAAGAGCATATCAGATGGTTTTCTGTCACAAAGAGCAGAAAAATGTTAGAGAGTATTTTCATGTTCTGCATCAGAGATGAGAGTCATACCTAGCATCCTAAGCTTGGAATCATGCAGTTGGTCTGAATGCGGAGGAGCTAAGATAAAACCTGAATTCTCATTTAACCAAACTTGCAGTATCATTTGCACAAATGAATCAACATGTTTGGAAAAGACTTCTGATTGCTCAAGAAACTTTAGCACTTTAGGAAGCCAATCAGCAGTATACAAAGAGGCATGAGTAGCACGCAACTCTTCAAACTGTGTCATACAGAAGTTCCTTCCTGAAAGCAGCAACATAATTCTCATATGCATGTACAAGTCAGGCCATGAATAACAGCAGTAAAAACATAGACAAAAAAATACAGCTCACCAGCCATTCTGATATCATTTTTTTCTGAATCTGATAAAGCAAGACCAAAACCAAGTTTCTCATATGCTGATAATTGCAGTGTGTTGGATAGAACGTCCAGAAATTCTTCACTGATTGCTGTACGTCTCACGAAACCAGAGAATACCATACTGAAATGTGGCTTTTCCAACAACTTTCTAAAGAGTGAAGCAACTACTGGTTCTAGATGTGTACTCTTCAAGTCTTCTTCATAAATCTTGAAGTGGTCCAAGCAGGTCTCAACTAGCAATATGCTTTCTTCTGTTCCATGTTCAATATACTGCAAAACGGAACAGAACATCAACTTGAGAACTTGCTAGCTGATAACAGCCTCCACTTGATGCACTATGGCAAATATCAATAAAACAAGACATTTGTCTTCTCTTGTTAATCCTTCATAATCAGTACCAAGTAAAGCTCTTCCTACCACATATGCTTTCCCACTTTCAGGTCCAAAGAAGGACCTGAAGTATTATCCAGAAGAAGTGCTGGCAATATTTACAATACCCACAAGTAAGAATCTTGTCTCCACTGTGTATTCAGGGAGAATCCCAACCCGAAAGGACACAGATCAGAAAAGGTAAGACAAGATCTTATTACTAATATACTAATAGAGTTGACCACATTCTTTTTCCTATGATCACATTCATGATATACATATATAGCCCCATAAATAAGCTCCAGGCTTTACTCCCTGCTATAAGAATCAGGCGATCCTCTAATATGAAGAATATAAATAAGGACCCAGTATTACAGTCAAGAACCAACACAGCTGTATTGACACTTATGCTGATGCAATATTGTCTTAGTGTCATTTGCCTACAGACCATAGCTTCAAAAATAGAAAATTAAAGCAGATGAAGTCAAAGTTGCTTCTTTCTTCATCTTGTTCATAAGGATTAATTGCTTTGAACCAGAAACATGCTGATCAAAGAAAGTTTTAGAGATGGCAGCTGCTAATCTGGGGACACTAGTGTCATATGAGCAGTCAGACCATATTAAACTTAACTTTCTCACATTCAAGGTGTTACAAACATGAGATGGATTTTCAGACATGCAACCAGATACCTTTCTCATATAAAGAAGTCTGTAAATACAAAATTAAAGCAGAGGAAGTCAAACTTCCTTCCTTCTTCATCTTGGTCATGAGGATTAATTGCTTTGAAACAAAGCCAATCGAAGAATAGAGATGACAGATGCTAATCTGGGGAAGCTAGTGTCTCGTGAGTTGCCAGATCACATTTAACTTAATTTTCTCACATTCAAAGTGCTACAAACAGATGAACTTTCAGAAATGCAACCAGATACCTTTCTCATTTAAAGAAGCGTGTGACCAAAATTATAGAGGAGCAGTAAGCATCAGATAGTAAGCAAAAGAGACCAAAAAAAGTAGGGAAAGATAAAACTCTTGCAAGATCCTAGGTGATAAAAATTAACAAAGACATAGAATGTTGCCATAAAACTCTCTAAAATTTAGGTCGCAAGTATGCAATACACTAAAAAAGCAAGACGTAAATAACCAAGCAGCTGGAAATCAAGTTTCCGCAACAGATTAGTCCTTGGAAGTCATGAGTTACCAGGTTCAATGACCATAACATGCAAAGAAAGCACAAAAGAGAGGGCCACCATATCCACTTTTATACACCCTACATTCCATAGAAGAAAAATTACAGGATACAAATAACAAGGGGACTGTCATGCACCAAGGCGCCTTCGAAGTCATCTATGAGAGGGTTGGGGAGAGGTTTTTCTATGCAGCCTTCCGCTGCATTTTGCAAACAAACTGCTTTACAACTTGCAATATAGAGATGCTTTTATTACAAAAGAACATAAATGGAAGGAACCATTAAATTAACAAAAGGACCTAATTATGCCATCTCAGATGATAAGTTGAACTTGAATGTGTCACATCTATTAATATCAGTGATGCCATAAGCATAATTACCACGACGCAGCCATTCCTGCGGACAATAGAGGTCATGGTGATGCATCGCCGTGTGACGTAATTCAAGTTGATTGACTAAATAATTGTATCGACACCATAAGCCATACTCAATAAACAAAATGTTAAAGCAAAAGAAAAACCCTAGTTGAAGAACAAGGAAGAGGAGAAGATAAGCAGAGAACTTGTCTCGCTTCAATTTAATGTCGTCTACCACTGTGGTTTATTGATAGTTCCTCTGCTCCATCTTATTGTCTTCCCTGATCAAAAACTTACTATGTAATAAGTCATATACTGAGTAATGAAACACTTGCTTCTGAGTGCTAAAACTACCAAATCATGTGCCAATCATGATTTCTTTATTCGACTATAATATAAGAGCAGAAACATAAATCATTATGGAATTAAAGCAACACTTTTTGAATTAGAAACAAAAACAGAACAACAAGAAATCCTTGGAATAGAAGAACAAAATCAGAATCAGAAATAGTGGTCGTTGTGTTATTACAAGTTTCTTGTGTTAATGGGTTTTAAGTTATGTTATTCTAGGCGTTTACTATGTTATGCATGTTACTTTTTAAAGCGTAGGCAGTAAATATCATAATTGACATGTAGCATGCATTTTAATTTCTAAAGGAGGTAATAAATTCTAAATCGTGCCACTCTTGGTGTTATACGCATAAATAGCATATATTGAATGATTGGTCACTGTACTGATGACATGGTAGTCACACTTCTATTGCCATGGCATCCTCACGTTTGGCTGCCGCCATGACTCACCATAGTGATGCACAATTGCAGTCATAACATGATGGAGACCATCTGTGTAGCAGAGGGAACAGCACCAATTGATGGTATAAATAATGACTGGAACCAAACACGTCTGTAGTCTGAAAAAGGCTATCTGCATTTAATTTCTTCAGATACAAACTGAATACATTATATGATTACCGAAATGATACTATAACATTTAAAAAGAAAAGTAAGAGAGTATTAATGGCAAGGAATGGAGAAGGTGGCATTTTATATTCCTTCTTGTTTCAGGTGGGTAGGGGACTGATTGTAATACATCCAGTCTCGCTCCTAAAGAACCAAATTACTGAAAGAAAGCACAGCAAGTAAAGGTAGGTGTGCATTAGAAATTACACAGGAAGTACTTTAACCATTAGCCTACACTCGCAAATGGTATTACCATAAGATCATATAGAAAGTTGGCAATGCATAAAATCTGAATTCGAAAATAGAGATTGGAAAGTGATTTACGTAAGACTTGGGCAAAAAAATATCATGATTGCAAAAACGGATCACATAAATGGTCTGTAGTCACTCTCAGATCTAAAATATGTCATTACAACACTAGATATTGATCCAGTACATTTAGTGAATTATGAATTATACAATACATCCAACGCTGACAGGAAGAAGGAAGATGCTTGATACAAAATAAACCATAATGTTTCCTAATTTGTAAGGTTCATTCTTGATTTGCATTTCTACTTTCTGGTACTGTCATGATAGTCTTGACTTGTGGTGCAGCAGAGGAGGTGGCAAATAATTTACAGCTTTCACCATGACATGTCAACGGCAGGCTGACATGTGTAATGGAAGTCCAGTTAATTGTGCCACAATAAAAAGTGGAAGCAAAGAGCTTGTCCTCCACTCATGTGGTGAGTTGTCAGTTGTGCCTTATGGCTGCATTTGGTATATGCGACAGGATAGAATGGGACAAAAAAACTCACCATCCCATGTTTGGAACGACATGGGACAAGACAAGAACTCACCGTCCCACGTTTGGCGCGACATAAGACAGAGATAAGAACTGCGACAAGGTGGGACCGCGTGGGAGAAAAAGGTTTTTTTCTTGTTCCACCAAAATAGGTGGAAAAAGATGGACCAGAACGAGACAGAAACTAAAATATTACTAATCTACCTTCGTTTGATAGGTAACCTTAATATGGAATTTTTTTAATGGTCACCACTGCCAGTCGCAGCCTCCACCACCACACTGTCGGCCACCTCCACCTCCTCCTCCACTACAATAACCTTCTTCACAACCACCAAAGCACCACCGTCCATCGCCACCACCACTACCACCGTCGTCCACTTCCACCATAACCACCACCACCCCATTGGCTACCACTATCCCTACCCACCACCACCACCACCACTACCACCACTACATCGGCCACAACTACCTCTCCACCACTGTCGGACGCCAGCACCACCACTATCTACCATCTTCATGTCCTCCACAACCACCGTCGTCCACCAACCACCACTGCCTCCGCCTCCACAACCATCGTCAGCCACTAAGCACTATCACCCATCTGCCACCACCACTAGCATTGTCGCCCACCAACACATGCACCTCCACCATAACCACAACCACAACCACCACCATCGGCTACCACTGCCACTACCCACCACCACCACTACCTCCATCACATCGGCCACAACTACCTCCTCCGCTACTGTCGGCCTCCACAACCACCGTCATCCACCAACCACACGGCCTCTACCTACACAACCACCGTCATCCACCAATCACCACCGCCTCTACCTCCACAACCATTGTTGCTACAACAACTTTCATCGTGCCTCCGCCAATTCATAAGGATCTTTTAAACCGAATAAAACATAATTTTCATTCAAATTCGGAACTATTATACATGTATGCATTCATGTCTATGAAAATTGTGTAAAAATGTTTATACATTAAATTATTTAAATATTAACTTTATTTGTGTAATTTTTAACTATTATATGATATATATAAAAATCATCAAACAACTTTTGGGGGAAACTTGTCTATTTTTGTCCTATCTAGGCCTAGTCGTACCAAACACTAGACAGGCACTTGTCTTGTCTAGTCCTATCGTCTTGTCCTGTCGTGTCCAGTCCAATCCGGCCCTATCATGTCTATGTACCAAACGCTACCTACTGGTAGCATTCACAATTAAATTTGGTCAAGCATTCTTCCTCTCCGAAAACATACACTTATATAGTGATTTGTATATTTTCATGATATTCATCAAATTAATTCCGTCTTAGCCAGGTTCCATTTATTTACCTTCTTTAAAGCGCATATAATTTTAGAATTCAGAAGTAAGAAGCTATGTTCTCCTAATTGTAGTCGCAGCATCCAGTACATTATATTGGTTACAGAATATACAAGTGTATGTACATGTATTTTTTTTTCCAATCCATTGCCAATGTGCCATGATTTTACTCTATTCTTGCAAGTACTATGATGTACATAATTTCATATAACATTCTAGAAGTCCTAAATTATCGTAAATAGAATAGTTAAAAGACTAAAATTTTATCTCCAAAAATACTTGACTTAAATGCTATAATCA